CCACAAAACGATCGCCAGAATAATGTATCAGCGGCGAGAGTGAATGTTCTGTTTTTCTTACCTGGTGATGCAGATAGGGCGCTGTGGCTAATGCTAATGCTAACATGAGCTAATGCTAATGCTGTGGCTAACGCTAATGCTAACATGAGCTAATGCTAATGCTGTGGCTAACGCTAATGCTAACATGAGCTAATGCTAATGCTGTGGCTAACGCTAATGCTAACATGAGCTAATGCTAATGCTGTGGCTAACGCTAATGCTAACATGAGCTAATGCTAATGCTGTGGCTAACGCTAATGCTAACATGAGCTAATGCTAATGCTGTGGCTAACGCTAATGCTAACATGAGCTAATGCTAATGCTGTGGCTAACGCTAATGCTAACATGAGCTAATGCTAATGCTGTGGCTAACGCTAATGCTAACATGAGCTAATGCTAATGCTGTGGCTAACGCTAATGCTAACATGAGCTAATGCTAATGCTGTGGCTAACGCTAATGCTAACATGAGCTAATGCTAATGCTGTGGCTAACGCTAATGCTAACATGAGCTAATGCTAATGCTGTGGCTAACGCTAATGCTAACATGAGCTAATGCTAATGCTGTGGCTAACGCTAATGCTAACATGAGCTAATGCTAATGCTGTGGCTAACGCTAATGCTAACATGAGCTAATGCTAATGCTGTGGCTAACGCTAATGCTAACATGAGCTAATGCTAATGCTGTGGCTAACGCTAATGCTAACATGAGCTAATGCTAATGCTGTGGCTAACGCTAATGCTAACATGAGCTAATGCTAATGCTGTGGCTAACGCTAATGCTAACATGAGCTAATGCTAATGCTGTGGCTAACGCTAATGCTAACATGAGCTAATGCTAATGCTGTGGCTAACGCTAATGCTAACATGAGCTAATGCTAATGCTGTGGCTAACGCTAATGCTAACATGAGCTAATGCTAATGCTGTGGCTAACGCTAATGCTAACATGAGCTAATGCTAATGCTGTGGCTAACGCTAATGCTAACATGAGCTAATGCTAATGCTAACATGAGCTTTGCCATGTCCTGCTGCTGCTGTGTTTATCTCCTGCTTCTTTGATCATCACAGTGTTAACCTCACACAGACTTTATTCCTCCATGTGTCTCTTCTCTTCACACCGCGTTTGTAAAACTATATATTATAATAGATCCATGGTAAAACTATATATTATAATAGATCCATGGTAAAACTATATATTATAATAGATCCATGGTAAAACTATATATTATAATAGATCCATAGTTAAACTATATATTATAATAGATCCACATGGTAAAACTATATATTATAATAGATCCATAGTTAAACTATATATTATAATAGATCCATGGTAAAACTATATATTATAATAGATCCATGGTAAAACTATATATTATAATAGATCCATGGTAAAACTATATATTATAATAGATCCATGGTAAAACTATATATTATAATAGATCCATAGTTAAACTATATATTATAATAGATCCATGGTAAAACTATATATTATAATAGATCCATGGTAAAACTATATATTATAATAGATCCATGGTAAAACTATATATTATAATAGATCCACATGGTAAAACTATATATTATAATAGACCCATAGTTAAACTATATATTATAATAGATCCACATGGTAAAACTATATATTATAACAGATCCATGGTAAAACTATATATTATAATAGATCCGCATGGTAAAACTATATATTATAATAGATCCATGGTAAAACTATATATTATAATAGATCCATAGTTAAACTATATATTATAATAGATCCATGGTAAAACTATATATTATAATAGATCCGCATGGTAAAACTATATATTATAATAGATCCATAGTTAAACTATATATTATAATAGATCCATGGTAAAACTATATATTATAATAGATCCGCATGGTAAAACTATATATTATAATAGATCCATGGTAAAACTATATATTATAATAGATCCATGGTAAAACTATATATTATAATAGATCCATGGTAAAACTATATATTATAATAGATCCATGGTAAAACTATATATTATAATAGATCCATGGTAAAACTATATATTATAATAGATCCATGGTAAAACTCAGTAGAGCCTCTGTGCAGCAGGTGCTGCGTCTGAACGTGGTCTTGTTTACATGTCGGCTCCACGCGACTGTCAAGTGCCCGAGACATTTGGAGAGATCCGGTCATTTATCAAACTAAAGTATTCTTTCCTTGGCAGTCTCTGGTGAAAGACTGAGAGTTGAGGAGCACTGTCAAACAGTATAGGCAAAAGTCTCCTTAACTCTACAGACACCCGTACTACCAGCAAAATGTACATATAAATCTGCTCCAGTGTGAGGGGATGCATTGTTAACGATAATGATAAAGATCATGTCGGGTGAATTTGGGCAAAAATAGACATTTTATTTAATCGATAAAATTGACTGGGGGAAGAAGGTACGGGTCAATATCCAGTTAGGCGATCCTTAACTTCTCCAAATACCACTCTTTGTGAGCCCTGACCTGACGTCCTACTGTCACCTATAACGTAATCAAACATGTGCTTGAAGCAGCCACTTCTGGATTTAAGAGAGGAAGCTCCGTTTTTAAGAGTTGTGTCCGTTTTGCTCTCGCAGCAATGCTAATGCTAATGCTAATGCTAGTTTCCAATACTTCCGCCGTAAGCTCATTCACAATCACGTGACTGGATGACGTTGATGCATCTGGTCAATACTGAGACTGCAATACAAGATCTCAACGCTAGAGGCACTAGAAATTACACAGTGTACCTTTAAGACCAAAAAAGACAAAGACCCAAAGTGCAAGTTCATATTTTCCTTTTTAATTTAAAACAAATTTAATCTTTACATATTGTTTTTCAAATGTACAATCAAACAACGCAATAATCATACATAAAAGTCTTCATATTTAATGCACAACTTCATTAACACCAGTTTTTCATAAATTAAAAAAAGGAAAAAACATTGAGATTTTGTAAGAAACGTGAACGAGGCAACATGATTTTACACAAAGTCTGCCGCACGAATAAGGTGCCACTTTTCCCTTCCACTTCATTATTAGCACTTTGAGAAATTAGGGATTAATTTAGAGAAAGCAGCTCACGAAAAAGTGTAAGAATGTGTTAGTGGTGAAGTAGTGGAAATAAATCAGTTTTCTGTCTAGTAGTGGACACAGAACCGCATCTGCAACAGGAAGTACCGCATCTGCAACAGGAAGTACCGCATCTGCAACAGGAAGTACCATATCTGCAACAGGAAGTAGTTGAAAAAGTTAAAAGAATAGACAGAATTAGATTTTTTGCTACATTTTTAAGTAAAGGGGAAATAACATTGGTTTTGAAATGCTTTGAATCCCGTCACATTTTTATTCTTAGACGTTCGGTTTATATTCAGACAAATGGAGTGTATTTTATAACATTTTCATTCAGAAACAGCTCCAGTTTTCCCACGTTCTTTGAAAGCAGCGTTTTGCCTCAATCTTTAGAACACTTGGATTTGGCTCAAAAATCTCTCGCCAGAACCTACTTCACTACATTTAACGTAAAAAGTGTTTGTATGAAAGTGTTGCACAAGGGTAGTAAAATATGGCTATTTTAGTGTTGGAGAGAAAGGAGACTAAAGCAAAATCCCCCAAAAATGTGATAATAGTCATAATTTTAACTTTTTTCCTGGTTTAGTTTATAATACTGTGCTAAAAAACATTTTTTCTCAATGAATTTTACCACTAATTACTACCAAATTCTGGATCCTACTGGTAGAATTGTATAATAGGGTTACGTTGGGATATTTCTCTGATTTAAAGTGGTTAATTTAAGATGTTAATTAACTTCATTAACTAAAAAAAGAAACGCAAAAAAGTACACCGACAAAACAATGCACACGTTTTGTTAAAGCAGATTTTTTCAGGCGGCCATTTTGAGGAGTAGGTAAAGAAGTCCAGGTTGGAATGTCAGCGCTCGTCTCGCACACGTTTAAGTGCACGCACGCACACGTCTATGTGCACGCACACACACACACGTCTATGTGCACGCACACACACACACGTCTATGTGCACGCACACACACACACGTCTATGTGCACGCACACACACACACGTCTATGTGCACGCACGCACACACACGTCTATGTGCACGCACACACACACGTCTATGTGCACGCACGCACACACACGTCTATGTGCACGCACACACACACGTCTATGTGCACGCTCACACACGTCTATGTGCACGCACACACACACGTCTATGTGCACGCACACGTAGGCCAGAGGTAAACACAGCGTCTGGGGCCACTTCCACAAAACACATGTTAGAATTTAAATAAATATATTATTCACATGTTAAAAGCAGCGATATGTTCATAATCTCTTCTTCCCAAACAAAAAGTCAAAGGCGGCTCCTAAATGCATGGAGCCCTTTCCTGTCCTGTGTGAGAGCCAAGTGTTCTTTGATAGTTCTTGAAGTGAAAGCTACTCCTTTTAAAGCTGGGGTACCTAACTTTCAAACAGCAACACATATTTTTTTAATTGAATCCACGGAATTCGTTCTTTGCTCTCAAAATCTGCAAGAGCTAGTTTTCACATGGATGTATTGTTGGCCTTTGTCACTTTTCTGTCTGAAAAATCTGTCAGTTTTTTAGATCAAAAACCCCCCCAACCCAAAGGGTCAAATAGTGACTCACAGGGCTTTCTTACAAATACACAAAATATAAAATATGACGGCATGTTGTGGTCTGATGAGCTCAAAACTTTGTACTATAATATTATATATTATAAGAATCTTTGTAGAGAAAAAAATGTGTTTAGGAAAAATTAAAACAAGTCAGGTACCCCAGCTTTAATAACAGTCATAATGTATAATTTAGACATTTCTTTCAGAATTCAAGCTCTATCTTGTAACTTCTCAAACATCCGTCAAAACCCTTCATGATCCTGATAAACTTGAAGACAGACTAATTATATATGAATATGTTTATAGTGATGCGACAACATGGAAGGTTCGAACACAGACAATGATCCAACAGCGTTTAGTGAGAGTGGCCCCCGGGGACAGAGTGAGAGTGGCCCCCGGGGACAGAGTGAGAGTGGCCCCCGGGGACAGAGTGAGAGTGGCCCCCGGGGACAGAGTGAGAGTGGCCCCCGGGGACAGAGTGAGAGTGGCCCCCGGGGACAGAGTGAGGGGTTTTCTCGGGGTCAGAGTGAGGGGTTTTCTCGGGGTCAGAGTGAGGGGTTTTCTCGGGGACAGAGTGAGGGGTTTTCTCGGGGACAGAGTGAGGGGTTTTCTCAGGGTCAGAGTGAGGGGTTTTCTCAGGGTCAGAGTGAGGGGTTTTCTCAGGGTCAGAGTGAGGGGTTTTCTCGGGGACAGAGTGAGGGGTTTTCTCGGGGACAGAGTGAGGGGTTTTCTCAGGGTCAGAGTGAGGGGTTTTCTCAGGGTCAGAGTGAGGGGTTTTCTCAGGGTCAGAGTGAGGGGTTTTCTCAGGGTCAGAGTGAGGGGTTTTCTCAGGGTCAGAGTGAGGGGTTTTCTCGGGGACAGAGTGAGGGGTTTTCTCAGGGTCAGAGTGAGGGGTTTTCTCGGGGACAGAGTGAGGGGTTTTCTCGGGGTCAGAGTGAGGGGTTTTCTCGGGGTCAGAGTGAGGGGTTTTCTCGGGGTCAGAGTGAGGGGTTTCTTGAGGACGGACGGAGGTGTTTTCTCGGGGGCAGAGTGAGGGGTTTTCTCGGGGACAGAGTGAGGGGTTTTCTCGGGGACAGAGTGAGGGGTTTTCTTGAGGACGGACGGAGGTGTTTTCTCGGGGGCAGAGTGAGGGGTTTTCTCAGGGTCAGAGTGAGGGGTTTTCTCGGGGACAGAGTGAGGGGTTTTCTCGGGTCAGAGTGAGGGGTTTTCTCAGGGTCAGAGTGAGGGGTTTTCTCAGGGTCAGAGTGTGAGGGGTTTTCTCGGGGTCAGAGTGAGGGGTTTTCTCGGGGACAGAGTGAGGGGTTTTCTCGGGGACAGAGTGAGGGGTTTTCTCGGGGACAGAGTGAGGGGTTTTCTCGGGGTCAGAGTGAGGGGTTTTCTCGGGGTCAGAGTGAGGGGTTTTCTCGGGGACAGAGTGAGGGGTTTTCTCGGGGACAGAGTGAGGGGTTTTCTCGGGGTCAGAGTGAGGGGTTTTCTCAGGGACAGAGTGAGGGGTTTTCTTGAGGACGGACGGAGGTGTTTTCTCGGGGGCAGAGTGAGGGGTTTTCTCGGGGACAGAGTGAGGGGTTTTCTCGGGGACAGAGTGAGGGGTTTTCTCGGGGACAGAGTGAGGGGTTTTCTCGGGGACAGAGTGAGGTGTTTTCTCGGGGGCAGAGTGAGGGGTTTTCTCGGGGACAGACTGAGGGGTTTTCTCGGGGACAGAGTGAGGGGTTTTCTCGGGGACAGAGTGAGGGGTTTTCTCGGGGTCAGAGTGAGGGGTTTTCTCGGGGTCAGAGTGAGGTGTTTTCTCGGGGACAGAGTGAGGGGTTTTCTCGAGGACGGACGGAGGTGTTTTCTCGGGGACAGAGTGAGGGGTTTTCTTGAGGACGGACGGAGGTGTTTTCTCGGGGACAGAGTGAGGGGTTTTCTCGGGGACAGACTGAGGGGTTTTCTCGGGGACAGAGTGAGGGGTTTTCTCGGGGACAGAGTGAGGGGTTTTCTCGGGGTCAGAGTGAGGGGTTTTCTCGGGGACAGAGTGAGGGGTTTTCTCGGGGACAGAGTGAGGGGTTTTCTCGGGGACAGAGTGAGGGGTTTTCTCGGGGACAGACTGAGGGGTTTTCTCGGGGACAGAGTGAGGGGTTTTCTCGGGGACAGAGTGAGGGGTTTTCTCGGGGACAGAGTGAGGGGTTTTCTCGGGGACAGAGTGAGGGGTTTTCTCGGGGACAGAGTGAGGGGTTTTCTCGGGGACAGAGTGAGGGGTTTTCTCGGGGACAGAGTGAGGGGTTTTCTCGAGGACGGACGGAGGTGTTTTCTCGGGGACGGACAGAGCGGAGGTGTTTTCCTGCAGGATTCTTCAGTCTCTCATCGCGCCGTTGGTTTTGGGCGTTTCATCGTGACTCGGTCCTGGCAGGAGTCTGTGGTTGAACTTCAGAGACAGAAACCGACGTTGAGTCTCGTCCCTCAAAATCTGAACCAAAACGATTCCTCTGCTTTCTGTGCAACGAGGAGAGGACCGTAACGAGCAGCAAGTCTCATGTGCAAAGGACCAGAGACAGAGAAGCTCAATTCATGAATTTGTCTCGACGTCTGTAAACCTGCTTGTTCCATTTTAATTAGCTTTGCACAGATAAGGCTTTTTACTTTGTGGCTTTCAACATCAGCAGACACAGATATGAACCGATACCAGGAATGGAACTAGCAATCCCCCTCACTGTTATTTCTCCTGAAAGTCGCTACAGAACAGAGTAAAAATTAAACTCTTTGACGTTCTGGGTTAAAACCATAGACTGCAGACGAAGTGGACAAACAGAGCAAACTCAAACAGGCTCAACAGGAGGGAATCTGGAGCCAAATGATGTAGGTAGTAAATGCCTAGCAACTGCCTAGCAACCGAAGAGCCAATCAGGAATGGTGCTGGTCTATGATCACTTGCAAGTCGAGCCAAATTTAGGGACAGAAGGCACCCGATTGGTCAGTTGTTTGTCTTTTGTAAATCCTGGTATGAGCCCAATGTCAAAATAAAAACACCAGGATTGAAGAGAGCGCTAAACCACAGAGTTTTAAGCCCGAAATGGTTACAGAGAAACAGGAGTTTACTTTTCAATGTTAGTGAATGGAAACAAAATGTTCCACAATAGGATTAATTGAGCTAGCGGGTTAGCAATGTCCTTCTATACACAGTCTATATCAGGATCTACAGCATGGACCAGACTCCAGATCAATCAAAAGTATCAGGACCAGCCCCAACATTAGTGATGTTTCTAAACCAGTGGTACCAGTGCAGGTTGCAGGTCATTTAACCCATGCAACCAAACTAAGTACGAATACAAGGAATTCAAGTAATTTCACACAATTTGAATAAAGCTTTTCTCCTTTTTTTGCCCAGAAAGCAGAGCAATCATCTCGGAGGATTGTGATGAGATGCTTCACTTCAGAGTCATGCAGAAACCCGGGTGCAAAAAAGTGTGTTTTTACACAGAAAGAAAGTGCCTCCATCTTGTTCCAGTGATCTCTGCAGCAGCGGCTTCTGATTCAGTTTTAACATTGTCGTTCCCCTGCGCTGCCACCAGAGGGAGCCATTACAGTGAGAATCCACAGTTCAGCCGTCCAACAGAGCTAAAAACACACCAAAAAAACAGAAAAACGAGGTCCAGACGTCAGGATTGCGAGTCGTTCAGTAGTAAAACTTCCTCCTCCTCTTCTTCTTCTTCTTCTTCGTGTCGGCGGCGAAATGAGCGGATCAGTTGAACATTATGGACTCTGGATCTTGGTTTGACATTTGAGCCATGTGCCGCAGGATATCTTTTTTTGTGATAATACCAAGAAGCCGCCTGCGGATCAGACAAAACGGGAAAAAGACACAAAATACAACGTTAATAAATGTACAAAGTGAGTAACTGTTGAGCCAAGGCTCTAGACAAGGTTTGATTGGTTACATGGCTTCATGTTGTAAGGTTCTGGAAAACACCCATTACAAAAACATATTTAAAGAGACAGTATGCTCAAAATGGTCTTGTAGTATATATATATATATATATATATATATATTTTTTTTTTTTAAGTCATTAGAATCACAAGTTTGTTGGCAGAATATTCCTATGACACATGTGAGGCTCCTGAGCTCAGATTACTGATGCAACCCACCTGCTGGAGTTGAGCAAGAAACAGTACAAGTCTTGGTGTTACGTGTGACTACATGTTTGTGTTGGCTTGTTTTAAAAAAGTGTGGTACTTTTATTGTTTGGGTACTTTTATAAATAAAATAGGTAGAGCCAAGACAAACTGGGAACCCTAATCAGAAATAACCAAATAATAATACCCCTAATGAGAGATCAGAATCTATTCATGTTCGTGTTGTCCTGGATTATAATTAGAATCCAGAACAGTGTAGAGTATAAAACATGAAGCCAAGTAAATATCAGATTTCAAACGTGTGACCGAAGAAGATCCAAACCGTGTGGAGTTAGAAAGTCAGAACTCAACCAAGACAAGAATCATTCAAGAAACCGTCGAGTGGACATGAAGCAGCCAGATCCACAATATTATCATTATTATTATATCCAGAATATTATAAAGTTCTTATTCAGTTTGAGAACACAGAGGATTTGTTGATTGTCAAAAATCTAAGAAATGGAAAAAAGTGAATGTGATGAAAAGGGGCTACGTTTCTATTGAGCCGGAGGAGGCCAAGAGCAAAGACCCAGCAGCAGAGGAGGAGGAGGAGGAAGATGAGGAGATCTGTGAACCAGCAGGGACCAGGACAAAGCAACACGATTATTAGGAAGGATTTGGAACTTTGAATTTGGGTTGAATCTAAAGTTGTTATTGTGAAGGAAATAAATCTGTTTTCTGTAACTCCAGGATCAATGTTTGGAAGGTTTTATCTACGACATCCCAGAGACGACTGATCGAGAGAAAAGACACTCGTCCACTGTCTCTACACGCTCAAACACACAATTATTAACCTCATTCATATCAAAGTTGATGATTATCTTAAAGCTTCGTAACAAATAGGATCAAGAAATATGGATTTAAACTTCTCAAATGTGGAAAACTCAAAATACTTTGAAGCTGGTCTTTGTTGGTTCACAGTAAACAATTCAAAATGGTTTAGTTTAATTGCACAAAACTACAATCAAAGCTGTCACGACTCTTAAGCTAAAAGGAAAGAGTTTTCACTAAAGCAAAACTACAAATGCTTCGTCTACGAGGTTTAATAACTGATAATAATCTCAATCTCAGTCTGTTCCACCTCTAAACAGCCCCAGGTCCAGATTACGGCCGTCTCTCAGTGTCCTTCCATCTGCAGGTCGGACGGCGAGCAATAACATCAAACAAAACACAGGAAAAGTTACGATGTGCAGCTTTAAAAAGTGAGACGGGGTCAGACCACGGGGTCAGACCACAGGGTTAGACGCCACATGCAGATCTACTGACATCATCTGAAGAAACTACAACCAGGAGGAGATCATCTGTTTTCTGAAGCTGACGCAGGAAGAAGGAAAAGGAGGACGCTAAAAATATCCAGCCCCATTTTCAGACGTGGAGGATCGGTCGCCACATGCACCGGCTCACAGACCTAAACCCTAACCCTCTAAAACGTCTGAAATACGTTGAGAATAACTTTTTTCCCCTGGTGAATATGTAAATCAATTATTATCATTATCGTTATTATTATTAGAATTAGGGATCTATAATAAATCAGATAGCTCCAGGTGGAACTCATCTAAAAATCCCTGTTCACATTTTTCTATACAAGTCAAACTGAGGAATGTTTACATTTTTAATTGGAACGATGAAGTCGATAGTAACGACTTCTGCGAGTCGTCGGGTGAGGATGTATTTTGTTTGTGGCAGAAACTTTTTAAACTCCCGCACTCACGTTAAAGCATGCTTTTTCTCAAAAGCAGCTGCAGCCACAAAAGTCAGGTCTGAAGCAGAGTCCAGTGCACGTGAGAACTTTGGACCTGGTCTGAAAACAGAGTGACTACATTTAGGAAAAAAGACCTAAAACTAGACTTAAAGCTGGGGTCCCCGACTTTCCAACCACAAAACATGTAAACATGTAAACACGTAAATACGTAACTATGTAAACATGTAAACACGTAACCATGTAAACACCTAACTATGTAAACACGTAACTATGTAAACACGTAACTATGTAAACATGTAAACACGTAAACACCTAACTATGTAAACACGTAACTATGTAAACATGTAAACACGTAAACACCTAACTATGTAAACACGTAACCATGTAAACACGTAACTATGTAAACACGTAAATACGTAAACACCTAACTATGTAAACACGTAACCATGTAAACACGTAACTATGTAAACATGTAAACACGTAAACATGAAAACACGTAAACATGAAAACACGTAAACACGTAAACATGTAAACACGTAACTATGTAAACATATCAAATCCATTTCTCGGCTCCTCGCTCCTAAAACATCAGTAGTTTGAAGTCTTTAGTTCAGCTTTTTCAGTCAGAAAGGACTTTTTTACCAGTTTGCAAAAGAAAAGATGTTTTGCTGTGCTCTGATTTGTTTACAACATTTTATTTATTTTCACAAAACTGTTTGGAAAAAAATATACATTATTGACGATAAAAGAAAGTAAGGTACCCCAGCTTCAGAGTTTCAGCGAGAGGCTACATTGCTTATAATTGTTTTTTTGAGCTGGGATCACGAAATACAACTTTATTCTGAAGAAAGTAAAGATCCAGCACCACACACCAAGAGGTTTATGAAAGAGAAAGAGAGAAAGAGAAAGAGAGAAAGAGAGAAAGAGAGAAAGAGAGAGAGAGGCCTGCGCTCCAGATCAGGGGGAGGGGCTACGTATAGAAAGGGGCGGGGCAAAGTACCAGGGGCTGGACTTGCTGCTTCACCTCCTCCAGATGCTCTAAAATATTCTTCTTTGTGATGATGCCCAACAACATCCTGCAAACACACCACACACACGTACACACATGTACACACGTGACATCACACACCACACACATGTACACACATGTACACACGTGACATCACACATGTACACACGGCCCGCGGCATCACATCACACACAACAAATTATGAAACGCAAACGTGTGTGTGTGCGTGTTTGTGTGTGTGTCAGACTGTGGTGCTTTAAATGACGAGCGTTGCTATAAATGTTGTGGTGTCTCACATGTACACGTTGTGTACACTTATCCAAACTATCAAAGACATATTGTGTGTTTGTAAGTAAGTAGTAAGTAAGCTTCCTCCTTCCTCCTCCGTCGAGCAAAGACGTGTCTTAGTCCGCTCCTGCTTCTGAACGGCTTGCTATCTCCTGTTTTTGTCTTTTTTCCTGGAGCTTTGCCACAGACAACTCTAACAGAATGGAAATGATTAATTGGTCCCTCAACGCAATTGATTCTATCTTTTCAACTCGTAAGCGTGGGTCTGGAGAGCCCGTGTGTCCGGACGGGACTTCACCAGCGGGGTATACACTTGACAGCTGGAACAAGTGGCAGCCCCTCTGTCTGTCGACCCTGTCCATTGAAGATTCGGAAGACGTATATATCTTTGGCATTTTGGTGGCGGGAATCCTCCTGTTTGGGTTTGGAGCGATCCTCTTCTACCACAAATTCGGAGGCATGGCAGTTCGCAAGATTCACGACCTGCTGGCCGATAAAATTGATGGGATGTACAAGGAGCTTAGCCGTGTCGTGGTTGAGAGTGCCGTGTCTGGACAACGGAGAGTGGTGTTGGTGGAACAGTTGATCAAAGACCTCGCAGCTCGTTCACTTGATGGACATAAGACCTTAGAATTGAGATTGAATGACATTGTTTGTCAGGCTTGATCTCTCTGACCCGGCTTGGATTTGCCCCTGTGTACGGAGGTCTGAGGGCACCGGAATTCGGTTTAATTGGAATTAATAGAATATCTGCCTGATTTTGACTGCGACATTGCAGGCGATGTGTTTTTCTCCTCCTGTGGCTTCTCTCTCCACTCTTATCTCACATTCCTCAGCCAAGGCCATAAACAAGGTCCCACAATCTACAACAACTCACACTATTTCAGTCTTCAGCAAGGATCCCCCACCCCCGCCTCCCTCTACCTATCCATCTTGCTCCCTCCCTCCCCTCCATTCCTTATTGTTTTCCTACTCACCCCCTCCCTGATCCCGCCCCCCTCTGACAGCTACATTGGGCCGGCCGAAGAGGTGCTCTTCCCGAGAAAAAAATCCGTGGTTTATAAAAAGCACAATGTGTCTATCCAATTGTTTGTGAACTGTATGTTATTGCTCTCTGCTGTTTCTTGCTGCACACAGCGCCGCAAATGGCGAAGTGGCACGCTCTCTGCCAAAACAATTTCCAAGTGATAACTTTGTTACTCACGTGGCAATAAAAATGATTCTGATTCTGATTCTGATTCTGATTCTGATTCTGATCTTTATTTATATACCGCCTTTCACAGACCAGAGTCACAAAGCGGTTTACAATTGTTATTTTATGGGCATTTGTCTCTCACTCCACACAGAGATGGGAGTGGGGCCAGTACAGGAGGCACATGCCAGAACTATTGTACATATTTTTAGTGGTAGGGGAAACCGGAGCACCCGGAGGAAACCTACGAAGACACGGGGAGAACATGCAAACTCCACTCAGAAAGGCCCTGGTCCGGCCGGGATTCGAACCCAGGACCTTCTTGCTGAGAGGCGAGAGTGCTATCCACTCAGCCACCGTGCTGCCATTGTTTGCTATATAATGAATCAACAGCATTGGCCTAAATTGGAGATGTTCAAACTCAGCTCTGAGCCACATGTTGCAGAAGAATCATTGGAGATCAAGAAGCAAAAGGAAGTTTTCCTTTAGATTTTCTTAGAGAACTGTCTGAACTCGGGCTGGGAGATGTATCGTAACCGTTCTTACCCGTTGTGCGTGACCAGACACTGCCGCAGCCCCAGCTTCCTGAAGATGTCGACCACGATCTCCATGGGCGTGTGGTCGGTGACGGTGAAGGGGCTCATGTCCAGGATGGAGCGCAGCTTGAGCGGGCGTGGGCTGTCGGCGGGCAGCGTGGGCGCGTGCTGCGTGAAGTACACCCTGGAGTTCAGCACGATGCCCTCCTGCTTACGCCGCGCGTTCTCTACAAAGGTCACATTGGTTAGATTTTAGTTTAGTTGAGGCTTCACACTTAAACTGCAGAAGTGTAAAAATAATATAACCAACAAACAATTAGCAAGTCAACGCTTGAATTAGGTGAAGTTAAATATATTTATTACAATATCATTTCTATCTCTAAGACAAAAATATGTTTTCATTAGAGAAAAGCAAATTCTGACTTGATCTGGTCTCATTGGGAACATTGTTTTGTTTTCAACATTTCCTTGAATCAAGATAAAAACAACTTCATTGAAGCGTCTGCTGCCGCCGGGGATCGGTTTATCAGTGTTCTGACCATCTACGCCACAGACACCATAGAGACCACAGACACCATAGAGACCACAGACAGCACAGACACCATAGAGACCACAGACACCATAGAGACCACAGACACCATAGAGACCACAGACAGCACAGACACCATAGAGACCACAGACACCATCGACAGCACAGACACCACAGACACCACAGACACCACAGACAGCACAGACACCACAGACACCACAGACAGCACAGACAGCACAGACAGCACAGACAGCACAGACACCATAGAGACCACAGACACCATAGAGACCACAGACACCATCGACAGCACAGACACCACAGACACCACAGACACCACAGACAGCACAGACAGCACAGACAGCACAGACAGCACAGACACCATAGAGACCACAGACACCATCGACACCACAGACACCACAGACAGCACAGACACCACAGACACCACAGACAGCACAGACAGCACAGACAGCACAGACAGCACAGACACCACAGACACCACAGACACCACAGACACCACAGACACCACAGACACCACAGACACCACAGACACCACAGACACCACAGACACCACAGACACCACAGACAGCACAGACAGCACAGACAGCACAGACAGCACAGACACCACAGACACCACAGACACCACAGACAGCACAGACAGCACAGACAGCACAGACACCACAGACACCACAGACACCACAGACAGCACAGACACCACAGACACCACAGACACCACAGACAGCACAGACAGCACAGACACCACAGACAGCACAGACAGCACAGACAGCACAGACACCACAGACACCACAGACACCACAGACAGCACAGACACCACAGACAGCACAGACAGCACAGACAGCACAGACACCACAGACACCACAGACAGCACAGACACCACAGACACCACAGACACCACAGACAGCACAGACACCACAGACACCACAGACACCACAGACAGCACAGACACCACAGACACCACAGACACCACAGACACCACAGACAGCACAGACAGCACAGACACCACAGACACCACAGACACCACAGACACCACAGACACCACAGACACCACAGACAGCACAGACAGCACAGACACCACAGACACCGGCCCCGCTCTGGTCGGCTTCAGGCTGCTCTCACCGACAGCGATGGTGATGTCCCGGCGCAGAGCGAACCCCACGAGTCTCTGCGACTCCTTGGACACGATGACGGGGAAGCCGTTGTAGCTGGTGTCGTTGATGATGAGCTGCAGCTCCTCCACCGTGAGGTCGTCCTGCGTCAGGACGGCGAGCGGCGGGTCGCTGCGGCGCGGCCTCATCACCTCGCGCGCCAGCGTCGTGTGCGTGAACTCCTCTTTGGCGTCGAGGAAGGGGTAACCGTTCAGACGGATGTGGGACTCGTAGATGCCCTCGCGGCCAAACGCGTCTCCGACCCACTTACTGGTCATGACGGCGGCCATGAGCGGCACAATGTACTCCAGCCCACCAGTCAGCTCGAACACGATGACCACAAGAGACACGGTCATGCGAGTCACGCCGCCTGAAGGAAACATATGAACGGTTATCTGCACAGATTACTGCCATGAGCTGTGGACTTTCAGTAAATGAGGAAAACATTTGAAATAAAAGATCATGTGTCGCAGGCATGTTGTGGAAATGAGGATCGTCATGGCAACACTTTATTGTTACAGATCAGACAGTTGTGAATGTGTCGTCACTGCCGCCTCACCCAGACACGCCGCAGCCCCCACCATGGCGTAGAGTCCTGGAGTGATGCAGTCGGCCCCCACCTCACACCACTCTTTAAACAGGAACCAGTCGTGATGGTAATAAGTCAACTGCTCCATGGCAATACCCACAATCCTCCCTGCTATTGCACCGATGGCCATACTCGGGATGAACAGACCACAGGGAACCTGCAACAGACAAATGTGTAGTTTTACATCATGAGCAGCGATAGTACAAGGAGGACCAGAGCATGTAGAGTTTGAACGTATTCAACCGATTTGTGGCGTTCCTGAAACACGTCTCCAGCCCCTGGTCCTCGCTCACCTTGAGTCCGAAGGTGAAGATGGTCATGATGATCTTGAAGATCAGTGCGAGACACAGCTGCCACATGGCGGCGTACACGCCAGGGCCCGCAGGTCTGTTGGGGTTTTCGCTGAAGGCTCTGCTGCCGTTCATCTGGCTCCTGTACTGACAGAGCTGAGACGTCTCCAGAGGCCCGCAGTCCGTGAACAGCTCTTTGATCAGCTCGCTCGTGTTCTGCCGCGTGTACGGGTTTGGGAACGCCACCACGGCTGTGATGGCTGCCACCAGGATCACCTCCAGGACCGGGTACTTCCCTGAACACACCAGGAGAGCAGTCACGGTTTAATGAAAGCACAGATCGAAGCTTCTGCCACACACTACACGGTCGTTACCAAAGCGCGTGGACTTGCGACGTCTGCACCAGGCGATGTTGGCTCGGATGAAGAAGGCGCCCCACAGCCCCCCGAACACGCCCAGCAGGATGAAGGGGATGAGCTCAAACAGGTACCAGGGCGTGTGGTACTCCACGTAGAACAGCACCAGCCGACTGTTTCCAAACGGGTTTATGGAGCGCAGCACGAAGGCAGCAACCAGCGCCGCGAAGAACGAGCGCCACAGAGTCTTCAAGGGGAAGTAGTAACTCACCTGCGGGAGACAGAGCTCTGTGACCGGAACAGAACACACAGAACCCAGCTGGTTCTGTTCTGGGGCGCCCTCTGGACAGTCTCCCCTGCAGCACTGTCCAACTTCAGCTTTGAGGTCATGTTTTCAGACTGTTTGATAATTATGAATCAGACATTTACACAATCCAGTTTAAGTCCTGCTCTGTTTGAATCACGACTTACAGCCTGAGTTTACGGAATGTCTTTGTGTGCTCCTGAGGCTTCTATCAAGTGTAAGGTGCATTAGAAATAAAATGTGTCATTCTATTCTTTTATTCAGGCTGTACAACAAACATTATTTTGGAGAGGATACATCTGTTCTAAAAGGCAGAAAAGCACAGATCAGAGAGATTCAGCAAAGCCCGATGGGGCGGAGGGCGGACCGGTGTTTTCCAAAAATCTCTGATCATAGCGACTTCAAAACTGAAAACAACCACCTTGTTGAGAATGATTAAAAGCTAAATAAATGTTGGTACCTCCTCTAGACTGAAGAGCACTCCTCCGATGGGCGCTCCGAAAGCCACCGACACTCCGGCAGCTGAGGCCGCAGAGAGAACCTGCCGCACACAAACACACGTCATCCTCTATCGCATCGTTCCCTTTGCTTCAGGACGCTCACCTCTCGCTTCTTGGCCTCGTTCTTGCTGTACTTGGGGAAGAGGTAGGAGAAGATGTTTCCGCAGCAGCAGGCCACGTGCACCAGGGGGCCCTCTTTCCCCAGACTGAGCCCCGAAGCCACGGCCAAAACCAGCGTGATGGTTTTGATCATCAACGTCCACTTGCCCAGATAGCCCCTGATGATGAAGCCGCTGAGGATTGTCTTGATCTGGGACAAGCACCAGAAACTTATTGAGGGCGATACTGACAGCATCAACAAGTAGAGTAGGAGTGTTTCTATCTCTGCATATTCAGACGGTGAGGAGACATTCAATCACAGATTGAGCCAAAACTTACTTCTAAATGTTCTAAAGGTCTGTGTCCTCAGAGTGATATTTGTCTTGTTGAGGAGTGAGAGTGCTAACCTCTGTTTCTGGTTTTGTACATAGAAACATGTACAGAACATTTAGGTAAAGTTGGTCTATGTCTCCTGGATTCAAGGATTGGCATCAAAGGATTAAATTAACCAAAAAGGTTTTATTCTATTATAACTATGTGGGTGTTTGAATGAAAGATTATACCTTTTTTATTTAATTTCTGTAAGTTTGGACTGTAACAAGTCATCTGCTTTTGAACCAAAATCAGAGGTTTATGACGGAAACAATTGTTTAAAAGAATGAAACCATTTAGTCGCTATGAAAATGTAGTCATCGTTAATAACAGCCACAGTTTTGACTATAAATGCTGGGCACAGAATTAGATTTACAGAAATACACAAAATGGTTGAGAAAGTCATCTTAAAGTACTGTCCTTTTAACGATTCATAAAGACAGAATTCCTGTAGAGTTAAAACATTGATCCACTTCGAGTCTTTCAAGAAAAACCACACATCGACTTCTGCCGTTCCAACAAAGCCGTTATGTCTCAGTGAGTTTATAGATGTTTTTGTCTTCCTCAAACACAAACACTGCAGAATCATCCGTGTATCCAAATGAAGATTCAAATATAGAACAACAAACTCAACAGTAACACAGCGACTTGGATTCAGAGAAAGTTGTTACTTGTGTCATAAGTAAATTCTCCAATGCAGCAGAGAGCGTGAGCTGAACCGTCAGACTGACGACCGACAGTTTGTGCAATTGAAACTTTATTATTAACGCTGTTAAGAAAAGCCCATTTTAACTGCAATGTTTTAAAATCAAGAGATTAACACGAGCACGAGCACGGCTGCTGCTGTAAAGTCTCTGGGGAAGTGTAGACAACAGGCCTCATGTGTTTTTACTGTGAGCCGCTGTGGGGAAGCCTTTGATTCTGGGAGTTTATGATTGTATTTTATAAACTGTCAAATGAATAGAGTAAGAAATCCCAAAAGAGACCCCAAGGAGTGTCTTATTAGTCACATCTCAGGACAGCTTTGGCTCCTCTGATCCCAACTGTTTTTATTGATTTCTTCATATACTTTTGTATAAACTGTACTTATATGAAAGTGTCCTCACCTCAGGAATCCCGGAGCCACAGGCGTACGGAGCGAACACTTTGACGAGACAAACGGCCAGAAAGGCAAAGGACAGCGCCCAGTAAATGTACATGAAGTAGTTCATGATGTAGGAGCCTGGACCCTGGACACAGGTGCGACGGGGAACAGAGGTCAGTTATTAGAGATGTTAAAGTCAGCCCCAGGCCTCGCTCAGGCACCTCCTCTTCTACGTTAGATATGAAGGCAAGTAGAGTAAATAATGTATCTAAAAATCTGCATTCTTGGCCGCCGGCTTTATAAATACTGTCATTTAAATTTGGAGAACCAAACTTTTTTGATCATGAATACCTTTTGTGTGACCCAACAGAAAGTGTCTTGTTGAAATAACATTTAGTAGATAAATTGGACCACAACATGCTTCATGTTCTCTGTCGGACTGAGAGCTGCTTTAAACATCACTATAATGAAGGGGAGAGGGTATTGTGACGGACCTCGGCCTGTCCCAGGATGAGCTCGGCCCAGCTCTTCCACTGTGGACACTTGTCTCTCTCGGCGAACGTGGTCTCGTTGGACGTCCAGCAGCACTGCTCGTGGTTGAACCACATGGCGCTGAGACACACGCCCTCTTTTATATCGTTCATCCAATCAGCAGCGATGTCGATCAGACCGGCCAGAGCTCCTACACAGAGGGGTCAGAGTCAGGGGGGAGGCAGGGGAGGGAGGGGGAGACACGGGGGAGACAGCAGAGGGAGGGGGAGACACGGGGGAGACAGCAGAGGGAGGGGGAGACAGCAGAGTGAGGGGGAGACAGGGGGGAGACAGCAGAGGGATTCAGGTCATGTGATCCGCTGTCATTTACCCATCACCGTCTAGTAGACTATCTTTTCTCACATGTTTTAATATTTTGGCTCATTTAGAATGAGAAAAGACTTTTCCACAGAAAGAGGAAAAATACTTGTTCCAAAGACATAATAAAAGAAAAAAAGTAATTTGTGTTTGCAAAAACAAATGTTAATCTTTGTGATTTGTGACCACATTAATGTTTTAACCCTTTAAGCGCCAGAGGTTTTTTTCTAAAACGCTTGATTTTGTCTTCTTAATTTCAAAGGCTATAAGGATATATATAAGTGATAAGAGATAAAGGCTTTCTGTAAATTAGAAAAATATTAAGAATGGCCCAAAGTTTATGTAGAGAATAAATCCACCCATCTAATTTGCATATTATGACGTGACATGGCGTTAGAAATAGTGGATTTTAGAATTTTCATACAATATATTGTATTTTTCTAACTGATAGACATATATTGATCACTAGGACATGAACACACACAGAACTCACACTGTAACATTGTAAATGTTCATGGAAATAGTCAATATAAATATTGATGGTGCAGCCATAGTCGGGAGAATGTGCCTGATTGTGTATTTACCTGAGGCTAGCCCCGTGAGCGTCACCACCAGCCACCCAGACCAAGCGTCGTACAGGCTCTTTGTGAACTCCCACGCAGACTCCTTCTTCTTACTGTTGATCTGAAACATCAAACACTGACATTATTCACCTGCCACATTTGTAACTTCAACAATGTCATACATTTACTTCTTTAAAAAGGTTTTATACAAAAACAAAAATAGTGGTAATAGCTTTACTTTCATTTGTATTAATCCATCAATGATTGAACAGATGTTTGTTTTATGACCACGACTTTCCCCTCAATGATAAAGACTGTCCTGTTGGTGAGAAGGTTACAAATGTTTCAAACGTCCAAATTCCTTCTAATAACATTCTTTGAACGAGCAGAAATACTGCAGTCAATATTTAGACTCTGTTGACACAGGAGTTAATATCAGCTCCTGGAAAGGTTGACTCAGGACCAGAGTCATTTCACAACAGAACCTGGAAGAACAAGTTATACAATAATAAGCAAAATTACACAGTTCTCGCTCAGATACTTCCAGCTTCAGTTTGTGCAATAATCAGGGACAAAGGCTTGTTGTGAGAAATGAGTGCTACATCAGGGCTGTCTTTAGCTTCATATTTCTTTGTGGAAATAGCAAAAAAGCCATTTTAAAGTAAATGTTGGAATTTACTTTGATATTCTAGTCAGATAATTAATTAACAAGTATTAAAGATTTTTAGGGAGATGTTTCCACAAATTTAAAATATAATATGTACTAAATAGCTGGTGTCAATCATACGTCCCATTTGCACACACACACACACACACACACACACACACACACACACACACACACACACACACACACACACACCTGTTAGTAGCTAATGCTAAACGGTGGGAGGAGTCACAGAGAAGAGGTGAAAGACAGTGGAAAACCAAAACAGCTGTGGCCCTGCGATTTTACGACCTTTTATTGCCATTTTGTTGTGATTTTATGTAGTTTAGGTCAGATACATAATAGTAATACAGTTAATTGACCAATTGATCCACTGAGAACGTCCTGAATCACCCAAACAGTCACTTTGATCAGCGGGCTGGAGGTCTATGGTTTAGAAACCCCTTAAAACAATAAGTCTCTTGATCGTTTTATGGTTCAGATCTAGATCAGATGCTTTACTTTAGTCCAAACACCAGCTCAACACACAATGATCAGAAACCAGACGTGAGCAGTAGTTGCAGCATCAGACCTTGCGGTGGCGCTCTCGGTCCTTGCACTTCTCGCGGACCCAGTCGATGGTGTGGAAGTCGTCATAGGTTCCGACGCCAGGGATGGGCTCCTCCAGGAAGTCCAGCAGGTGAGTGGAGCTGCTGGCCCCGCCCCCGTTCGACATGGCGTAGTTAGAGCCTGGACACACGGAAAAACAATCATGTTATTTTACAAGAAATAAACAATTACTAACACTCAATAATTGGAAATGTCCCTTTTCTATTTTCATAGCTGTAAATTTGAATTAAAGATGTTTTTTTTTTTTTCATACATTTCATAGAGGACTGTGCTCAAAGACAGTGTGATGAAGCAAATCACAAGAAGACAAGGAAAAATGGGCACAGTCAAAGTGTTAAAATGACATCTGAAAAAGTCATGTACTGGTATTTTATCTATTTAAGTTTGAACTAAATGGTGTAGTATAAAAATGAACCCCCAAAAACAACAATGCTCGTATTGTTTTAATGAACAATGTACAACACAATCTTCTTGGAGGTCCCAGATAAATAATTCAAGATTTTAATGAAGTTTGAAGCTGCAGGCACAATGACATCATCCTCCAGAGCTAATGTTTATTAACTATAATAAAGTATAGACTCATGGACACAGAGAATACAGCAGCTCTGTCAGAACCAGAGAGGCCCATCCTAAAGCAGAAGCAAAGATTCCTCCAGACACAGCTCATTCTAAAAGGAGGAAGGAGGACTTTCTTTAGCGTCAGCGACAAACAAAAGTCTCCAGAACAACAGCTGAGGTCTGAGCAACGTCCACGTTTAGGAAAGTTCTTTGTTTACAGGAAAATGACTACATTCTAAATAACTGCATTAAATAATTAAAGATGTTTGAATTCTTCTTCTTGAACGATATACATTTATATTTAAAATGTGTTTTGTTTTGAGAACATTGGACAGACAGAATAATACAGTCTGTATCTACTCTTGGTTTGATTCTTATGAATAGTTTGATTCCACAAAATCACTGAAAAATCCTGTGGTTAATATTTTTATCAGAATTATTTTTATTGACACGTAAGTAACAGGAGTCACAGACTTGGAAATGGCTTTGGCTCAGTGCAACAGTCAGAGAGAGAGGTAAGGGTAGAGAGGCATAATAAAAAATAGGAGAATAAAAACACTAAGGAATAAATGTAAAATAAAATGTAAAATAAAAGCAAGAGCATAAAGAAAATCAGATCTTCAAGTTTGGTTCAGCAGTTGTGAGGATGTGCTACAGAGAAATACAGTATATTATTGTCGCGGGTTCTCAAAAGAAATGCGAACAAAATGATATGGTCTGGTCAGGTTATATTTCTTTAGTGCAGATATTTATTTTTGCTGCAGCAAGTGAGGGCAAACCAACGTTTGCAAGATGCACAAGCATCACTTGACAGGCTGTATGTTGCCCCGATTGTCCATACATGTACGTTAAAAGCAGTAAGAAACCAAGTTAAAAGAGCGCACCACCACTGTTTGTCGCCACTTGTGCAGCGCCACCTCCCATTCTAAATTGATGGGAAGATGGATGGAGCCAAATACAGGACCATTCTGGAAGAAAACCTGTTGGAGTCTGCAAAAGACCTGAGACTGGGACGGAGATTTATCTTCCAACAGGACAATGATCCAAAACATAAAGCCAAATCTACAATGGAATGGTTCACAAATAGACGTATCCAGGTGTTAGAATGGCCAAGTCAAAGTCCAGACCTGAATCCAATCCAGAATCTGTGGAAAGAGCTGAAGACTGCTGTTCACAAACGCTCTCCATCCAACCTCACTGAGCTCCAGCTGTTTTGCAAGGAAGAATGGGCAAGAATTCCAGTCTCTCGATGTGCAAAACTGATAGAGACATACCCCAAGTGACTTGCAGCTGTAATTGCAGCAAAAGGTGGCGCTACAAAGTATTAGCGCAAGGGGGCCGAATAATATTGCACGCCCCACTTTTCAGTTTTTTATTGGTTAAAAAAGTATACATTATCCAATAAATTTCGTTCCACTTCACGATTGTGTCCCACTTGTTGATTCTTGACAAAAAATTTAATTTTTATATCTTTATGTTTGAAGCCTGAAATGTGGCGAAATGTTGAAAGGTTCGCAAGGCACTGTATATACACATGTGTGTGTCCCCAGATAAAAAGTCACATGTACCAATCATATTTTCTGAACAAAAAAATAAACTGGAGTTATTCTTAATTGGATATAATGTTAATATTCATATTTACAATTCTCAAGCAGATCATCCAATCAGGGAGCAGAATGAGGCCTTTGTGGTTGCCAGTTTGAAAGGTAAACTCTAGATTTGGCTTTTTCTTCTTTTTTAAACAACAAAATTCACAAACAATAAAACATACCTTTGTTTATATAAAAGCCAATACAAAAATAAGTTGTCATACGTAACACAAATAATGTACTATTTCTGGCTAAACTCCAGCAGGTTGATTGCAAATGAGACTTGGGTGGCATCTCTGACTGCCACCCCCCTGACCCAGAAATGGGTTAAAGGGTAGAACATGGATGGATGGATGGTTTAAGGGGCTGAGCAGCAGACAAACACAGACACAAGCGAACAGGGCTTTGGTCTCTGAGTGAGCGAGACACGGACAGTCTCTGAGCGACACTGAGACGTGTCATTGATGGAAACATTTAGACGTTCGACGTAACAGACATTTGAGGATCACTTTCCCACTGACAATAATTACTGATGAAAAACTGAACACAAATGAAGTGTCATGCTTCAGTAACACAATACCATACAGTATATTCTTGTATCGCACTAAGTCACAGCAGCATCATCTCAGAGACTTAACAACACCATTTAAATCACCAACACAGGTCAGAGTTAGGGTTAACACACATGAAGAATATAGAACACATGTTGATAAATGTCACACATGTGATAAATGTCACACGTTGATAAATGTCATACATGTTGATAAATGTCATACATGTGATAAATGTCATACATGTTGATAAATGTCACACATGTTGATAAATGTCACACATGTGATAAATGTCACACATGTTGACAAATGTCACACATGTTGACAAATGTCACACATGTGATAAATGTCACACATGTTGATAAATGTCACACATGTGATAAATGTCATACATGTTGATAAATGTCACACATGTTGATAAAAGTCACACATGTGATAAATGTCATACATGTTGATAAATGTCACACATGTTGATAAATGTCACACATGTTGATAAATGTCACACATGTTGATAAATGTCACACATGTTGATAAATGTCACACATGTTGATAAATGTCACACATGTTGACAAATGTCACACATGTGATAAATGTCATACATGTTGATAAATGTCACACATGTTGATAAATGTCACACATGTGATAAATGTCACACATGTTGATAAATGTCACACATGTGATAAATGTCACACATGTTGACAAATGTCACACATGTGATAAATGTCACACATGTTGATAAATGTCACACATGTGATAAATGTCATACATGTTGATAAATGTCACACATGTTGATAAATGTCACACATGTTGATAAATGTCACACATGTTGATAAATGTCACACATGTTGACAAATGTCACACATGTGATAAATGTCATACATGTTGATAAATGTCACACATGTTGATAAATGTCACACATGTGATAAATGTCACACATGTTGATAAATGTCACACATGTGATAAATGTCACACATGTGATAAATGTCACACATGTTGATAAATGTCACACATGTTGATAAATGTCATACATGTGATAAATGTCATACATGTTGATAAATGTCACACATGTTGATAAATGTCACACATGTGATAAATGTCACACATGTGATAAATGTCACACATGTTGATAAATGTCATACATGTGATAAATGTCATACATGTTGATAAATGTCACACATGTGATAAATGTCATACATGTTGATAAATGTCACACATGTTGATAAATGTCACACATGTTGATAAATGTCACACATGTTGACAAATGTCACACATGTGATAAATGTCATACATGTTGATAAATGTCACACATGTGATAAATGTCACACATGTTGATAAATGTCACACATGTGATAAATGTCACACATGTGATAAATGTCACACATGTTGATAAATGTCACACATGTTGACAAATGTCACACATGTGATAAATGTCATACATGTTGATAAATGTCACACATGTGATAAATGTCACACATGTTGATAAATGTCACACATGTGATAAATGTCACACATGTGATAAATGTCACACATGTTGATAAATGTCACACATGTTGATAAATGTCATACATGTGATAAATGTCATACATGTTGATAAATGTCACACATGTGATAAATGTCACACATGTTGATAAATGTCACACATGTGATAAATGTCACACATGTGATAAATGTCACACATGTTGATAAATGTCATACATGTTGATAAATGTCATACATGTGATAAATGTCATACATGTTGATAAATGTCATACATGTGATAAATGTCATACATGTGATAAATTAGTTGGACACTAACTGTCCGACAGACTCCTGCATCAGAGGAAAGACGACAGTAGAACTTCACATTTGCAGTTTTCAAACAAAAAATTCTTTATAGAATTCAATTGTTACTGCCACAAATGTGTAGAATGTGTTCATGATGTTTCCCTTCAGTATAGAGCATAACTACTACAGCTTTTCACCAAAGTCACAAAGATATTTACAATTTGGTGAAAAAAAGACTAATTATAAATAAAGTAAAGTCAATAAAATTATATAAAACGTGAAAATATTTCTGTACATTTCTATCAAATTTAGATGAAAATTACATCCACATTCTAAACAACAAGATGTTTGATCGAACCAACAATCTCTGGATTCATTGATTATTAAATTATTAAATGAAATCATTCAAAAGCACAGATGACAAGTGTCTGCAGTCTGTCTCAGATTCGAGTCGACGACAGTGAAGTAAATGAGATCAGAGGTTTACGTCCGATTACAGCGAGTCAGGTGACCGGTCATGTGATCAAAGCCCCAGACAGAACCTCTGTGTGGTCTGCAGAGAAATGACCAGTGATGTATGCAGCAGACAGGCGGGCAGCATCATCAGTGTCCTTATTGTCAGTAATCTGGATTGTCTAGATTGAAATTGCACTGATAAATTGATGATGTAGGATATATGACTAAAACTTGTGCAGTTGGTTACATAATGCGACCATTAAAATAGTGTGGATTCACAGAATACTAAAGAAAAAATAAAGAAAAGTGATATGGCATTTATTAAGCTAATGACACCACTGCACTGCAAGAACACTTAAACAGCCCTCTCCACTTTTCTCACTGTTTGCACCGATCACCGAATTGTTGACATTTAGGAGGACCAATAGTCTTGACGATCCACCAGGAAGTAGAAAATACTCCTATTTACTTTTAATTATCAATACTTAACAATGTGACCAAATATTTTAGCATTTCTAATATGTATGTTTTGTAATCATACAGAACAGTGGGAATCTTTGACAAAAATACATTACACAGACCAAAATAATAGACAGGGAATTGCCTTAACTAAAATGAGCAATAACACAATTAACTCTGACCAAATCAAATGTCCTTGCCTTTAAACTCACAAGGGGCTTTTTGTCTCTGCTCGTCTGCTGTAATAATGTGAAAAGCCCTGGAGGAGCAGCAGTCCAGAACATAACAGCAATGACAAACACGATTACGATGGATGTAACGAGCTCACGTTGGAATAAAATACAATCAAACGCTTGGCCTTTACTTTGAGGACTATTGTAATTATCATAAAGGTCAAGTTTAGGACTAAATGTGCTCAACTAATCAACACAAGACGATCTTTTCCCCTGATTACATGTCGTTGAGGGAAAGTGTAGGATTTATATTACACAGGCATATTGTAAACAGTGTGTGAGCAATAGGCCACAGCCAGGCTTGTGTTTAGGTCACAGCAATATCACTTTAAGACCATCAACCTTGTTAATATCTTAGTCCACATGGTTCAATGAAAGCAGCTGGTGCTTGGTTCACACAGTCCATGGTTCACACAGTCCATGGTTCACACAGTCCATGGTTCACACAGTCCATGGTTCACACAGTCCATGGTTCACACAGTCCATGGTTCACACAGTCCATGGTTCACACAGTCTATGGTTCACACAGTCTATGGTTCACACAGTCTATGGTTCACACAGTCTATGTTCATACAGTCTATGGTTCATACAGTCTATGGTTCATACAGTCTATGTTCATACAGTCTATGGTTCACACAGTCTATGGTTCACACAGTCTATGGTTCACACAGTCTATGGTTCACACAGTCTATGGTTCACACAGTCCATGGTTCACACAGTCCATGGTTCACACAGTCCATGGTTCACACAGTCTATGGTTCACACAGTCTATGGTTCACACATGGTTCATACAGTCTATGGTTCACACATGGTTCATACAGTCTATGGTTCATACAGTCTATGGTTCATACAGTCTATGGTTCATACAGTCTATGGTTCACACATGGTTCATACAGTCTATGGTTCACACAGTCTATGGTTCACACAGTCTATGGTTCACACAGTCCATGGTTCACACAGTCCATGGTTCACACAGTCCATGGTTCACACAGTCCATGGTTCACACAGTCTATGGTTCACACATGGTTCACACAGTCTATGGTTCATACAGTCTATGGTTCACACAGTCTATGGTTCACACATGGTTCACACAGTCTATGGTTCACACAGTCTATGGTTCACACATGGTTCATACAGTCTATGGTTCACACATGGTTCATACAGTCTATGGTTCATACAGTCTATGGTTCACACATGGTTCATACAGTCTATGGTTCACACAGTCTATGGTTCACACAGTCTATGGTTCACACAGTCTATGGTTCACACAGTCTATGGTTCACACATGGTTCATACAGTCTATGGTTCACACATGGTTCACACAGTCTATGGTTCACACAGTCTATGGTTCATACAGTCTATGGTTCATAGTCTATGGTTCACACAGTCTATGGTTCACACATGGTTCACACAGTCTATGGTTCATACAGTCTATGGTTCACACATGGTTCATACAGTCTATGGTTCACACAGTCTATGGTTCACACAGTCTATGGTTCATACAGTCTATGGTTCATACAGTCTATGGTTCACACATGGTTCATACAGTCTATGGTTCATACAGTCTATGGTTCACACATGGTTCATACAGTCTATGGTTCATACAGTCTATGGTTCACACATGGTTCATACAGTCTATGGTTCATACAGTCTATGGTTCACACATGGTTCACACAGTCTATGGTTCACACAGTCTATGGTTCATACAGTCTATGGTTCATACAGTCTATGGTTCACACATGGTTCATACAGTCTATGGTTCACACAGTCTATGGTTCACACATGGTTCACACAGTCTATGGTTCACACAGTCTATGGTTCATACAGTCTATGGTTCATACAGTCTATGGTTCACACATGGTTCATACAGTCTATGGTTCATACAGTCTATGGTTCATACAGTCTATGGTTCATACAGTCTATGGTTCACACATGGTTCATACAGTCTATGGTTCATACAGTCTATGGTTCATACAGTCTATGGTTCACACATGGTTCATACAGTCTATGGTTCACACATGGTTCATACAGTCTATGGTTCACACATGGTTCATACAGTCTATGGTCCATACAGTCTATGGTTCACACATGGTTCATACAGTCTATGGTTCACACATGGTTCATACAGTCTATGGTTCACACGGTTCAGTCTATGGTTCACACAGTCTATGGTTCATACAGTCTATGGTTCATACAGTCTATGGTTCACACATGGTTCACACAGTCTATGGTTCACACAGTCTATGGTTCATACAGTCTATGGTTCACACATGGTTCATACAGTCTATGGTTCACACATGGTTCATACAGTCTATGGTTCACACATGGTTCATACAGTCTATGGTTCACACATGGTTCATACAGTCTATGGTTCATACATGGTTCACACAGTCTATGGTTCACACAGTCTATGGTCCATACAGTCTATGGTTCATACAGTCTATGGTTCATACAGTCTATGGTTCACACATGGTTCATACAGTCTATGGTTCATACAGTCTATGGTTCACACATGGTTCATACAGTCTATGGTTCACACATGGTTCATACAGTCTATGGTTCACACAGTCTATGGTTCACACATGGTTCACACAGTCTATGGTTCACACAGTCTATGGTTCATACAGTCTATGGTTCATACAGTCTATGGTTCACACATGGTTCATACAGTCTATGGTTCATACAGTCTATGGTTCACACATGGTCCATACAGTCTATGGTTCATACAGTCTATGGTTCACACATGGTTCATACAGTCTATGGTTCACACATGGTTCATACAGTCTATGGTCCATACAGTCTATGGTTCACACATGGTTCATACAGTCTATGGTTCACACATGGTTCATACAGTCTATGGTTCACACAGTCTATGGTTCACACAGTCTATGGTTCACACAGTCTATGGTTCACACAGTCTATGGTTCATACAGTCTATGGTCCATACAGTCTATGGTTCACACATGGTTCATACAGTCTATGGTTCACACATGGTTCATACAGTCTATGGTTCACACATGGTTCATACAGTCTATGGTTCACACATGGTCCATACAGTCTATGGTCCATACAGTCTATGGTTCACACATGGTTCATACAGTCTATGGTTCATACAGTCTATGGTCCATACAGTCTATGGTTCACACATGGTTCATACAGTCTATGGTTCACACATGGTTCATACAGTCTATGGTTCACACATGGTTCATACAGTCTATGGTCCATACAGTCTATGGTTCACACATGGTTCATACAGTCTATGGTTCACACATGGTTCATACAGTCTATGGTTCACACAGTCTATGGTTCACACAGTCTATGGTTCACACATGGTTCACACAGTCTATGGTTCATACAGTCTATGGTTCATACAGTCTATGGTTCACACATGGTTCATACAGTCTATGGTTCACACATGGTTCATACAGTCTATGGTTCATACAGTCTATGGTTCACACATGGTTCATACAGTCTATGGTTCACACATGGTTCATACAGTCTATGGTTCACACATGGTTCACACAGTCTATGGTTCACACAGTCTATGGTTCACACAGTCTATGGTTCATACAGTCTATGGTTCATACAGTCTATGGTTCACACAGTCTATGGTTCATACAGTCTATGGTTCACACATGGTTCATACAGTCTATGGTTCACACAGTCTATGGTTCACACATGGTTCACACAGTCTATGGTTCACACAGTCTATGGTTCATACAGTCTATGGTTCATACAGTCTATGGTTCACACATGGTTCATACAGTCTATGGTTCATACAGTCTATGGTTCACACATGGTCCATACAGTCTATGGTTCATACAGTCTATGGTTCACACATGGTTCATACAGTCTATGGTTCATACAGTCTATGGTTCACACATGGTTCATACAGTCTATGGTCCATACAGTCTATGGTTCACACATGGTTCATACAGTCTATGGTTCACACATGGTTCATACAGTCTATGGTTCACACAGTCTATGGTTCACACAGTCTATGGTTCACACAGTCTATGGTTCACACAGTCTATGGTTCATACAGTCTATGGTCCATACAGTCTATGGTTCACACATGGTTCATACAGTCTATGGTTCACACATGGTTCATACAGTCTATGGTTCACACATGGTTCATACAGTCTATGGTTCACACATGGTTCATACAGTCTATGGTTCACACATGGTCCATACAGTCTATGGTTCATGCGCAGGTCGGTCCCGTGGCTCTGACCTGTCGCAGATACAGCAGGTTGTTGGTTTTAAGGTTGTAGGTTCGTACCTCTGTCAGATATTTCCTGCAGAGGGATAGTGTCACCTCCCCCGTCGTATGGCAGGTATGGATCGGCTGCAGCGTCCTCCTCCTCCATGATGTTGACAGCTCTCGGGAGGCTAATGCTAATGCTAATGCTAAAGCTAAAGCTAGCGCTCGCTGCTGCTACAGAACATCGCCACTGCTGTTCGTACGGCCGTGTCTGCCATGTTTGACACAGCTCCGTGGAGGGACCCGAGTCAGCAGCCCCCTCCCTGGCCGGATCTACCCCCTCCCAGGCTGGTTTTTGCCTCCGGTGCTTCGGTCTGACTGGCTGCGGATCAGTGACGGTGCCGTTTGGAGCTGACGCAGGAAGAGGCAGAGCAGGCGGTGTAGTGGCGAGAAACGCACCCCAACGTTATCATGTCAATACACATTTATTTACAGGGTAAATAACTTACATGTTTGATTAGTTTATTAATTGCACGGCATAATTGTGACAAAAGAGTTAAAAGCAGGAGTAAGATATATCTTACTCAAGTATGTCCAAACCTTGGCCCGTGGGCCAATTGCGGCCCTTTGATTCATGTTTTGTAGCCCTCTGCCTTACTAATACAAAACGTTTTGGAGATAAAGACCATAAGTTCACAGTGTCATCCAACCAACTTCAGCTCCGGCAATGTAAATCTCTCAACCTTTTAATTTGGGGCCAAAGGACATTGTATTATTTATAAAATAAGTTATAGGTACCCCAGCTATAAATGATAAACTAATCTAAAAATAATATTGTAAACATACTCTGGCTGCAGTGAACGATTATTTTATTGATTAAACTTTATAAATTAATTGAGTAAACCAGTGATTCTCCAACTGTGTCAACAGGAGCAAGAGCGAGTTGGAGCAAAACTTTGTTCATGAGCACTTCTCTAGTGGGCATCATTGAGCTAGGCGATTAGCATTGCCTATCGTCTGTATATAAAGTCTGAGATGTATGTGCTATATTTTTTATTAAAATAAAATAGAATCAACCAGTTTGTCAGAATATTGAATGAGAAAAACTGAAAAAGGATGTATGTGACAAAAACAAAAAGTACAAACAAGCAAATGATCCAAATCAATGTTTGTCTAATGTGGATTCCAGGATGAGACACACATCCCACATGGTCATTGGTCAGACAAGACATTATGGATTTTTAAATCATTTTGACAAACAAACAAAGGTTGAATATTTGATATATTGTGGTCATTTTACAGTATAACTGTTTCTTTGATCTGCAGCTGTAACTTCAGCCTGATGGATATAAATGTGTAAACATTGACTGCTGTCTAATTGTACAAGTGTCGGTAAGATTTAAAACTCATCGGGTGCTTTTCTTGGCACAGCACCAAGTCTCCTGCTTTCAGTGGGGCCTGGGAAAGAGCATCTCGCAGCACGGAGGAGGATCTGGAGTTTATTCAGTTTAAGCTTAAAGTCTCTCTAGTGTTTTTAGAGCAAATTTACCACAAACACTTTTATATAAACTTGCTGCACTAAAGAGTTTTATTGTTTAAACCAGGCGTGTCCAAAGCATAGACTGCCCTCCTAACCCAAAGTGCCCATCATCATCATCCAGCCAACTTTAGCTCTGCCAGCGTAGGCAAGTTTATTTGTATAGCATAGTTCATACTCAAACTGCTGAACAACACAAGACAGAAACAATCACACAAGGCATTACAATTCTAAATAATCACCGTACATTAGAAAGAGTAAAGTAAAATCCCTCAGTTTATGCACCGCTAAACAGAACTGTTTTAACTTTAAGACTGTTCCAGATTTTAGCTGCATGAATCTGAAATGCTGCCTCCCCATGGTCAGAAACATGTTGCAAAGGACCTCAGTTGTTGACTTTCTTTGACTGTACTGACATTTGTTTTTTCATGGCACTAATGTAGCCAGTGAGAACAAATTTATCATTCAGCCAACTTCAGCTCTTTCAAATGAGAACTAATATAGACATCTTATACATAATTAAGGCAGAATCCAGTTAATCCGAGTAGTCGGCCCCTGGATACTCTTGGTGAAAGAAAGTGGCCCTCTTACTAAAGTTTGACTCCATAAATAATTCAATACAAAGAGAATGTTTCCCAATAAACTCTTTTCTGAGGGTTTAGGCCTAATAATCACAACATTAGAGATTTCATACGTTTTCATTCAGTATTTTCAAATGAAAGACTATTTGAAGACTCAAGAACCAGCGTCTAAAAGCCAGACAGCAAAACCCTCCACAACATCAAAGAGAACATCTGACACTGGCTCACTCCGAACCTTCATGTTTGTCCAGGTCTGATACAAACAATGTTTTATCCACGGGTTTCAGATCTGCTCAGTCCAGACAAGTCCATTCATCTCCTTCTATTCACGAAAGAACACAAATGTTTTGCATATGTTTGTATTTACACTATCCATGTTTTTGAATAATATTCTTAGGGACAGTTCAGAAAACTGTTTAATGTAAATGTAAATCTTTCTGTCGTTTTGTACAATAGTGACTTCTTTGAGTAATTACAATGGATTTATGGATACAGTCTTATGATATACTGTAATTATTACTGTGGACTTACACCAATGTGTGATTGTTGATGTGGGAATCAAGTAAGTAATCTTATATTTTTGACAAATAATGTATTCTTTGATCTTACCTTACATTTCGGGGAAGCTATTCTTGTTCAAATCCACCATGTCCCTTCACTTTAATGTTAAAAACTGTACATCAAAAGGCAACAAAATCCCAAATTCTGCAACGTGTCCAATCCGATCTACTTCAGTTCAAAGACATTTCACAAATACTTCCCCTGCTTACAGAACAGAGCCAAATCTTTTAGACCTTCAAGTCTTCCTTCTGTGTGACGCTGAGCCCTTACAAACTGGAGGAGTGGTCCCACCGTCCCACCCTCTCAAGTCGAAGCAGAAAGAGCTCAGAGCCACAGGCCACAGCAGCGCAGAGGAAGACCACTCAACCCCAGACTTCCTGAGTCACTCCAGAAGAAAACACAATGGTTTGGATGGAAACATGAATGAACAGAGAGAGGCGCGGCCAAGTCTAATTTAAGTGCTTAAAAAAAAAACACAGAAATGTAGGCGGGGCTTGTGTGTACGATTCCCATTCATGTTATTCTTCAAAGGGTTGAGCTACATATATAAATTAACAAGTATATAAATATATTTGCTGATTGTTGAAAGAGATTGTGCTAAAACATATATATTATGTAGTCAGAATCAGAATCAGAATCAGAATCATTTTTATTGCCAACGTAAGTAACAGGAGGTCACAGACTTGGAAATTGCTTTGGCTCAGTGCAACAGTCAGAAAGAGATAATAAAAATAAGAATAAAAAACACTTCTAAAGAATAAATTTAAATTTAAAATAGAAGTTACAGTTACTATTTACAATATACAAGTGCACATGGTGCACACAATGTAAGGTGACAGCAGTACAGTGAAGTAAAGTGACGTATGATGGGCAGTAAAGTGACTTTATAAAGGGCGGGGGGACAGGTTAAGAAGTGTTCAAGAGTCCAACAGCAGAGGGGAAGAAACTGTTCTTGTGGCGGGAGGTTCTAGTCCTGATGGACCGCAGCCTCCTGCCTGAGGGGAGTGGTTGGAATAGTCCATGTGCAGGTGAGAGGGGAGTGGTTGGAATAGTCCATGTGCAGGGTGAGAGGGGTCGGCTGTGATACGACCAGCCCGGCCTCGAGCTCGGGCGACGTACAGGTCCTGCAGCGATGGAAGGCTGCGGCCGATCACTTCCTCTGCAGAGCGCACAATGCGCTGTAGTCTCTGTTTGTCCCTGACTGTGGCTCCAGCGAACCACACGGTGATGGAGGAGGTGAGGATGGACTCGATGATGGCCGTGTAGAACTGCACCAACATCTGTGCAGGCAGCTTGGCTTTCCTGAGCTGCCGCAGGAAGTACATCCTCTGCTGGGCCTTCTTGATGAGGGAGCTGATGGTCGGCTCCCACTTGAGGTCCTGGTGATGGTGGTGCCCAGGAAACGGAAGGACTCCACAGAGGTGATGGGGGAGTCCATCACGGAGGGTGGACTAGTCCACTAGTCAGCAATATTCTCTCAATTCGTAAATTAAATACAGGGATTTGAGCCTCAAAAAATAATTTGATGAAATAAAGAAAATAAGAAAAAAATCAAGGCTGTGCTTGCTGAGGTCATCACCTCTATCTTTGCATTGAGGTTCATAAAGCTGGGGTACGTAACTTTTTGTTTATCGACTGAATACAGATTGTTTTAAGAACATTGTGTGACCAAATCAGACCAGAACATGCTGTCTTTATCTTTATCTTATTAGGAAACATTTTATCTTCCTGAGAGCTGATTGGCTGAGTGAGGGCAGTCCTCTCTGTTTCACTTTTCAGACAGAGAAAGCTGATGTTAAGTAATGTTTATTTATATAGCACATTTTACAGACCAAGGTCACCCAAAGTGCTTCCGATATTTTTCCATTCTCTCCACACGGGATGGACGGAAAACACACTAGACCATCAAAGACCCAATCAACACCATCCATTCACTCACTCATTACATTCAAACCTATTGAACACATGTTTTTAGTGGTAGGGGAAACCGGCGCAGACACGGGGAGAACATGCAAACTCCACACAGAACGGCCTGTAGGTGGAATCCAACCCAGAACCTCTAACCACTGAGCCACCGTGCCGCTCGGTGTGCCGGACAGAGGCCAACAATACATGCATGTGAAGACTACAGTGTGTTTCGAGAGCTATGAACTAGTTACATGGATTTGATCAGTTCTTTTGTGGTTTCAAAGTTTAATGCAGAGAAAAACATGCAACATTGGCCTTAACTGTGAGGGGAGCAGAACGGTTTGGACTCTCAGCAGTTTGTGTTGTTGCAGCTGTGAGCCTCAAACCCAGAAGTGAAATGAGGCAATGAAAAAATATAAAAGCAGGTTGTGTGTGGGACACTGGTGTGTGGGACACTGGTGTCCACTGGTGTGTGGGACACTGGTGTGTGGGGACACTGGTGTCCACTGGTGTGTGGGACACTGGTGTGTGGGGACACTGGTGTGTGGGACACTGGTGTGTGGGACACTGGTGTGTGGGACACTGGTGTGTGGGACACAGGTGTGTGGGACACTGGTGTGTGGGACACAGGTGTGTGGGACACTGGTGTGTGGGACACTGGTGTGTGGGACGTGTGGGACACTGGTGTGTGGGACACAGGTGTGTGGGACACAGGTGTGTGGGACGTGTGGGACACTGGTGTGTGGGACACAGGTGTGTGGGACACTGGTGTGTGGGACACAGGTGTGTGGGACACTGATGTGTGGGACACTGGTGTGTGGGACACTGGTGTGTGGGACGTGTGGGACACTGGTGTGTGGGACACAGGTGTGTGGGACACTGGTGTGTGGGACACAGGTGTGTGGGACACTGATGTGTGGGACACTGGTGTGTGGGACACTGGTGTGTGGGACACTGGTGTGTGGGACACAGGTGTGTGGGACGTGTGGGACACTGGTGTGTGGGGACACTGGTGTGTGGGACACTGGTGTGTGGGACACTGGTGTGTGGGACGTGTGGGACACTGGTGTGTGGGACACAGGTGTGTGGGACACTGGTGTGTGGGACACTGGTGTGTGGGACGTGTGGGACACTGGTGTGTGGGACACTGGTGTGTGGGACACTGGTGTGTGGGACACAGGTGTGTGGGACACAGGTGTGTGGGACACAGGTGTGTGGGACACTGGTGTGTGGGGACACTGGTGTGTGGAGACACTGGTGTGTGGGACGTGTGGGACACTGGTGTGTGGGACACAGGTGTGTGGGACACTGGTGTGTGGGACACTGGTGTGTGGGGACACTGGTGTGTGGGACACTGGTGTGTGGGACACTGGTGTGTGGGACACTGGTGTGTGGGACACTGGTGTGTGGGGACACTGGTGTGTGGGACACAGGTGTGTGGGACACAGGTGTGTGGGACACAGGTGTGTGGGACACTGGTGTGTGGGGACACTGGTGTGTGGGGACACTGGTGTGTGGGGACACTGGTGTGTAGGACACTGGTGTTGTGTGGGGACGTGTGGGACACTGGTGTGTGGGACACAGGTGTGTGGGACACAGGTGTGTGGGACACTGGTGTGTGGGACGTGTGGGACACTGGTGTGTGGGGACACTGGTGTGTGGGACGTGTGGGACACTGGTGTGTGGGACACTGGTGTGTGGGACACTGGTGTGTGGGACACAGGTGTGTGGGACACTGGTGTGTGGGGACACTGGGTGTGTGGGACACTCGTGTGTGGGACGTGTGGGACACTGGTGTGTGGGACACTGGTGTGTGGGACACTGGTGTGTGGGACGTGTGGGACACTGGTGTGTGGGACACTGGTGTGTGGGGACACTGGTGTGTGGGACACTGGTGTGTGGGACGTGTGGGACACTGGTGTGTGGGACACTGGTGTGTGGGACACTGGTGTGTGGGACACTGGTGTGTGGGACACAGGTGTGTGGGACACTGGTGTGTGGGACACTGGTGTGTGGGACATGGTGTGTGGGACGTGTGGGACACTGGTGTGTGGGACACAGGTGTGTGGGACACAGGTGTGTGGGACACTGGTGTGTGGGGACACTGGTGTGTGGGGACACTGGTGTGTGGGGACACTGGTGTGTAGGACACAGGTGTGTGGGACGTGTGGGACACTGGTGTGTGGGACGTGTGGGACACTGGTGTGTGGGACACTGGTGTGTGGGACACTGGTGTGTGGGACACAGGTGTGTGGGGACACTGGTGTGTGGGACACTGGTGTGTGGGACGTGTGGGACACTGGTGTCCACTGGTGTGTGGGACACAGGTGTGTGGGACACAGGTGTGTGGGACACTGGTGTGTGGGACACAGGTGTGTGGGACACAGGTGTGTGGGACACTGGTGTGTGGGGACACTGGTGTGTGGGACACTGGTGTGTGGGACGTGTGGGACACTGGTGTGTGGGGACACTGGTGTGTGGGACACTGGTGTGTGGGACACTGGTGTGTGGGACACAGGTGTGTGGGACACTGGTGTGTGGGACACTGGTGTGTGGGACACTGGTGTGTGGGACGTGTGGGACACTGGTGTGTGGGACACTGGTGTGTGGGACACAGGTGTGTGGGACACAGGTGTGTGGGACACTGGTGTGTGGGGACACTGGTGTGTGGGGACACTGGTGTGTGGGGACACTGGTGTGTAGGACACTGGTGTGTGGGACACTGGTGTCCACTGGTGTGTGGGACGTGTGGGACACTGGTGTCCCACTGTTGTGTGGGACACAGGTGTGTGGGATACTGGTGTGTGGGGACACTGGTGTGTGGGGACACTGGTGTGTGGGACACTGGTGTGTGGGACACAGGTGTGTGGGACACTGGTGTGTAGGACACTGGTGTGTGGGACACTGGTGTCCACTGGTGTGTGGGACACTGGTGTGTGGGACACTGGTGTGTGGGACACTGGTGTCCACTGGTGTGTGGGACACAGGTGTGTGGGACACTGGTGTGTGGGACACTGGTGTGTGGGACACTGGTGTCCACTGGTGTGTGGGACACTGGTGTGTGGGACGTGTGGGACACTGGTGTCCACTGGTGTGTGGGACACAGGTGTGTGGGACACTGGTGTGTGGGACACAGGTGTGTGGGACACAGGTGTGTGGGACACTGGTGTGTGGGGACACTGGTGTGTGGGACACTGGTGTGTGGGACGTGTGGGACACTGGTGTGTGGGACACTGGTGTGTGTGGGACACAGGTGTGTGGGACACAGGTGTGTGGGACACTGGTGTGTGGGGACACTGGTGTGTGGGGACACTGGTGTGTGGGGACACTGGTGTGTGGGGACACTGGTGTGTAGGACACTGGTGTGTGGGACACTGGTGTCCACTGGTGTGTGGGACACTGGTGTGTGGGACACTGGTGTCCACTGGTGTGTGGGACACAGGTGTGTGGGACACTGGTGTGTGGGGACACTGGTGTGTGGGACACTGGTGTGTGGGACACTGGTGTCCACTGGTGTGTGGGACACAGGTGTGTGGGACACTGGTGTGTGGGACACTGGTGTGTGGGACACTGGTGTCCACTGGTGTGTGGGACACTGGTGTGTGGGACGTGTGGGACACTGGTGTCCACTGGTGTGTGGGACACAGGTGTGTGGGACACAGGTGTGTGGGACACTGGTGTGTGGGACACAGGTGTGTGGGACACAGGTGTGTGGGACACTGGTGTGTGGGACACTGGTGTGTGGGACACTGGTGTGTGGGACGTGTGGGACACTGGTGTGTGGGACACTGGTGTGTGGGACACAGGTGTGTGGGACACAGGTGTGTGGGACACTGGTGTGTGGGGACACTGGTGTGTGGGGACACTGGTGTGTGGGGACACTGGTGTGTAGGACACTGGTGTGTGGGACACTGGTGTCCACTGGTGTGTGGGACGTGTGGGACACTGGTGTCCACTGGTGTGTGGGACACAGGTGTGTGGGACACTGGTGTGTGGGACGTGTGGGACACTGGTGTGTGGGACACTGGTGTGTGGGACACTGGTGTGTGGGACACTGGTGTGTGGGACACAGGTGTGTGGGACACTGGTGTGTGGGACACTGGTGTGTGGGACGTGTGGGACACTGGTGTGTGGGACACTGGTGTGTGGGACACAGGTGTGTGGGACACAGGTGTGTGGGACACAGGTGTGTGGGACACTGGTGTGTGGGGACACTGGTGTGTGGGGACACTGGTGTGTGGGGACACTGGTGTGTGGGACACTGGTGTCCACTGGTGTGTGGGACGTGTGGGACACTGGTGTCCACTGGTGTGTGGGACACAGGTGTGTGGGACACTGGTGTGTGGGACACTGGTGTGTGGGGACACTGGTGTGTGGGGACACTGGTGTGTGGGGACACTGGTGTGTGGGGACACTGGTGTGTGGGACACAGGTGTGTGGGACACTGGTGTGTGGGGACACTGGTGTGTGGGGACACTGGTGTGTGGGACACTGGTGTGTGGGACACAGGTGTGTGGGACACAGGTGTGTGGGACACTGGTGTGTAGGACACTGGTGTGTGGGGACACTGGTGTCCACTGGTGTGTGGGACACAGGTGTGTGGGACACTGGTGTGTGGGACACTGGTGTGTGGGACACTGGTGTGTGGGACACTGGTGTCCACTGGTGTGTGGGACACTGGTGTGTGGGACACAGGTGTGTGGGACACTGGTGTGTGGGACACTGGTGTGTGGGACACTGGTGTCCACTGGTGTGTGGGACACTGGTGTGTGGGACACTGGTGTCCACTGGTGTGTGGGACACTGGTGTGTGGGACACTGGTGTGTGGGACACTGGTGTGTGGGACACAGGTGTGTGGGACACTGGTGTCCACTGGTGTGTGGGACACTGGTGTGTGGGACACTGGTGTGTGGGACACTGGTGTCCACTGGTGTGTGGGACACTGGTGTGTGGGACACTGGTGTCCACTGGTGTGTGGGACACTGGTGTGTGGGACACTGGTGTGTGGGACACTGGTGTGTGGGACACTGGTGTGTGGGGCACTGGTGTGTGGGACACTGGTGTCCACTGGTGTGTGGGACACTGGTGTGTGGGACACTGGTGTGTGGGACACTGGTGTGTGGGACACTGGTGTCCACTGGTGTGTGGGACACTGGTGTGTGGGACACTGGTGTCCACTGGTGTGTGGGACACTGGTGTGTGGGACACTGGTGTGTGGGACACTGGTGTCCACTGGTGTGTGGGACACTGGTGTGTGGGACACAGGTGTGTGGGACACTGGTGTGTGGGACACTGGTGTGTGGGACACTGGTGTCCACTGGTGTGTGGGACACTGGTGTGTGGGACACTGGTGTGTGGGACACTGGTGTCCACTGGTGTGTGGGACACTGGTGTGTGGGACACAGGTGTGTGGGACACTGGTGTGTGGGACACTGGTGTGTGGGACACTGGTGTCCACTGGTGTGTGGGACACTGGTGTGTGGGACACTGGTGTGTGGGACACTGGTGTGTGGGACACTGGTTTGTGGGACACTGGTGTGTGGGACACTGGTGTCCACTGGTGTGTGGGACACTGGTGTGTGGGACACTGGTGTGTGGGACACTGGTGTGTGGGACACTGGTGTGTGGGACACTGGTGTCCACAGGTGTGTGGGACACTGGTGTGTGGGACACTGGTGTCCACTGGTGTGTGGGACACTGGTGTGTGGGACACTGGTGTGTGGGACACTGGTGTGTGGGACACTGGTGTCCACTGGTGTGTGGGACACTTCATTAGGTTCTCATTATACCAATGCACTTCCTAGTAAAGCTAGTCGAGCTGTTAATTGTTCAAATGACACGTACCCCAGGAAGTGACACTAAAACAAATCAGACATGAAAATTACAGACTGTGTAGATGGACAATGCTAACTGACAATGCTAACTGACAATGCTAACTGACAATGCTAACTGACAATGCTAACTGACAATGCTAACTGACAATGCTAACTCCCTTCCTATTGACTTACATTGATGTAAACTCCTCTCGCTCAGTAACTGTGTCACACTCACCATTTTGAGCTTAAAAATGAATACTTTAGCGTTCTATTCGATCCTGGTGTTTATATTGTGATATTGTCTTTGAAAATCCAGTTTTGAACCTGAACAACCGACCAATCAGGAGATGAATCCAGCTAAAGCTAGCGACACTGCTCCTGATTGACACTTGGTAACTCCGTGTGCGTGTTATGCAAAAAAGTCATATTTACATAAAACATCTCCTTTATGTCCATGTTAACAACATTAACAACACAACAGCAGCTGCCCAAAGTGCTTCACATGCACTAACGGAAAAATGAAAGAAAAGAGCATGAAAGACACGTTGAAAATGAATGAATGTGTAAAACAGTAGAACTGTTGGCGATGAAAGCCAAGGCACACACGAAGCAAAAAAGACATGAAAATACAGTATCCCCACAAATATTCTATAATTCTCATACTTGCCACAAATATTCTATAATTCTCATACTTGCCACAAATATTCTATAATTCTCATACTTGCCACAAATATTCTATAATTCTCATACTTGCCATTTGCCAACTGCACTTGTATGAACCTCCATGACTGTCACATGTCTAATAAACTGTTGTACATACTTCTGACCCAGTGATAAATGTGTTTGCTTTGTGCTGGCTGCAGAATGTTTAGAAATGATACAAATAATTCAATAATAACTCTGTAAAGAAATGGACCCACACTGATAAACATTGAATAGAGTCTGTCTGGCTCGTAATACTCTGAGGTTTTGGGTTAAACTAGTTGGAATTAACAATTGTAAGGTCATCCTGGGTTGGAGTCGAAGGCTTTGGTGAATGGACAAAGAACAGCGAGACATCACACATGACGCAAACACGACTTTAGAGAGACACGAGACGACCTTTCAATACAAAGGTTCAGATGTAAAGGTCTTACATGGAGGACTTTACACATTTATGCATCTCTCTGTCACTTCTGAGGTCTTAATATATTTGTGTTATTTATCAGGCCATTAAACCTGGAGAACTGAACTTTTGTCAGAGTTAAAAATACGTTGTGTTTGTCTCAACAGAAAGTAACATTTTAAAGACAAACACAACATGCTGTCTTTATCCTTAAAACATGACGTCATTCAAAGCTATATTTGCTTTTTAAGAACTAAAATGAAGACGTATGAATCAGTATGGAGAGAAATCCATAATGGTTTACGTTCATGTGAAGAGTCCAAAAAGATTTTTTTTTTCCTGGTAACTATGGTAACTGTCAAAAATCTCTCTCTCTGTATCTCTCTCTCTCTCTCTCTCTCTATATCTCTCTCTCTCTGACCTGGAGAAGAAGCGTCCCCGTCCAGCAGGTTGTCGTCCTCTGTGGTGTGGAAGTCCATGATGCCGCTGGCTCCATCCAGAAGCTCGTCGTCGCTGCTGGCGCTGGCGATGCTGTTGTAGCTGTTCCTGCAGTAGCCTCTTTGGTACAACTGCTCCGACTCCATTTAGCGGTAGACCAGAGCGACCCTGACCACACACAGTGGGACAGGGTTAGGAAGCACTTACAAGCCACTCACACGACTGTTAGCAGAGTTTTAGGACGCTACGTCTGGGCATAAACACGCCATATTCAAGATAAGGAGTCTCAATCATGTGGGAACAGGTTTTTATGGCCCCCTAGTGGACATCGACCTTTAATGCTAGTGCTAGTGCTAGTGCTAGTGTTATACATCATTTTAAAGATAATTTTACCAAGAAAACAACAGCATAACGTATAGTGTCATAAACATTGAGCCCTGAACTTCATAAGTCATAACTCATTGTAAATTGAAATGTGAGCTATTTTCCCCAAACGCTGGTTTGAAATAAGTTTGTGTAAGCTCTCAGTCGTACAGGGATTAGTCAAAGCAAAGGAAGGTTTCTCACCCATCATCTGTACTTCTTAGCAAGTTTTCCCAAAACTTGCTAAGAAGTACAGATGATGGGTGAGAAACCTTCCTTTGCGCTGGTTTGAAATGTTTACTTTCTCATCAGTTTTTTTCAACAATGAAAAGAAACATGTTTTTGATCAATCCAGGAGCTAAACTGCTGTGTTTAAATGACTGCATGTATAACTTGTGTTATGGTGTGGACTTTTTGATTACTTATTCTTGTTTTATTCTGATATTTTGGTTCTTTATTGTCTGTTTTCATGTCTGTTCGGTTGAGTTCCTGTCTCGCCCTAAAGTGTTTCATGTGTGTCCCTGTGTGTATTTAAACCCTGTGCTCCTCTCCTCTTGTTGTTGGTCCATTGTGATTTTGTCCCGGTTTTGTCCTGGTTGTGTTTCCTGGATTTTGTTTTTGTCTATTAAATCTCATATTTTGGCAGTCTTGACTTTTGGGTCCTTCCTCCTTTTCAGAACGTGACAACTTGGCCTTAATATACTTCATCTGGTTCACTATTCACCCCACTTAAAGCTAGGGAACCCAACTTTCTAACCACAAAATGAATCTATGTAATATAATGCATCAAAACAGTTTGGTTCTACCACTGTTTAGTTTTTCACACATTTTTGGCCACTGTCACATCTTTAGGGTCTCAGGACCAAGCATCATCTAAAACATTCATCAATTTGATAAACTAGTAACATTTTACTTCCATTATTCAAAGTGAGACTGCTTCTGTAGTGGTTTTAACAGTTACATAAATACTTAGATTTCATGACTTCACCAAAGTATTATAATAATGTGATTATGACAAGTAACAAGTGCATTTAGAGCGTCACTCAGTCCTCACCTGTTTCCTGTGTTATCTTCATCTAAGACTTTCATACTTTTACACAAAGGCGTAACCTGAAGTCCATGCATGATCCAGATAACAATTACTGGATGAATAAATGAGCTGACAAATATCTTAATAAATGATATGCAAATCCTCAGTACGTTTCTTGTTGACCTTGTACAATATAAACAGATTCAATCATCTTATCCTATTATTCATATTTACAATATTATAAACAAATACAAAGTAATAACACATGTATATAACTGAACCATCCTCATGTTCCCAAAACCATTAGTGCTGCTGCTCACCCTGAGTATTTATAGACGCAGAGATTACGATGATAAAGCTGAGGACATTAACCCGGGGTCGCAACAATACAATCTGTCAGAGTGCTCCCTCTATGGGAAGAGGAGGGAACTGCACCACAGACCACAACAGGGTCAAACCGACAGTCTATGCTCCAACCGACAGTCTATGCTCCAACCGACAGGCTATGCTCCAACCGACAGTCTATGCTCCAACCGACAGTCTATGCTCCAACCGACAGGCTATGCTCCAACCGACAGTCTATGCTCCAACCGACAGTCTATGCTCCAACCGACAGGCTATGCTCCAACCGACAGTCTATGCTCCAACCGACAGTCTATGCTCCAACCGACAGTCTATGCTCCAACCGACAGTCTATGCTCCAACCGACAGGCTATGCTCCAACCGACAGGCTATGCTCCAACCGACAGTCTATGCTCCAACCGACAGGCTATGCTCCAACCGACAGTCTATGCTCCAACCGACAGGCTATGCTCCGACAGTCTATGGTCCAACCGACAGTCTATGCTCCAACCGACAGGCTATGCTCCAACCGACAGGCTATGCTCCAACCGACAGTCTATGCTCCAACCGACAGTTTATGCTCCAACCGACAGGCTATGCTCCAACCGACAGGCTATGCTCCAACCGACAGTCTATGCTCCAACCGACAGGCTATGCTCCGACAGTCTATGGTCCAACCGACAGTCTATGCTCCAACCGACAGGCTATGCTCCAACCGACAGTCTATGCTCCAACCGACAGTCTATGCTCCAACCGACAGGCTATGCTCCGACAGTCTATGCTCCAACCGACAGTCTATGCTCCAACCGACAGTCTATGCTCCAACCGACAGGCTATGCTCCAACCGACAGGCTATGCTCCAACCGACAGGCTATGCTCCAACCGACAGTCTATGCTCCAACCGACAGGCTATGCTCCAACCGACAGTTTATGCTCCAACCGACAGTCTATGGTCCAACCAACAGTCTATGGTCCAAACAACAGTCTATGGTCCAACCTACAGTTTATGGTCCAACCTACAGTCTATGGTCCAACCAACAGTCTATGGTCCAACCAACAGTCTATGGTCCAAACAACAGTCTATGGTCCAAACAACAGTCTATGGTCCAACCAACAGTCTATGGTCCAAACAACAGTCTATGGTCCAACCAACAGTCTATGGTCCAACCTACAGTCTATGGTCTAACCGACGGTCTATGGTCCAACCGACGGTCTATGGTCCAAACAACAGTCTATGGTCCAACCAACAGTCTATGGTCCAACCTACAGTCTATGGTCCAACCAACAGTCTATGGTCCAACCTACAGTCTATGGTCTAACCGACGGTCTATGGTCCAACCTACAGTCTATGGTCCAACCTACAGTTTATGGTCCAAACAACAGTCTATGGTCCAACCTACAGTCTATGGTCCAACCAACAGTCTATGGTCCAACCTACAGTCTATGGTCTAACCGACGGTCTATGGTCCAACCTACAGTCTATGGTCCAACCTACAGTCTATGGTCCAACCTACAGTTTATGGTCCAACCTACAGTCTATGGTCCAACCTACAGTCTATGGTCCAACCTACAGTTTATGGTCCAAACAACAGTCTATGGTCCAACCAACAGTCTATGGTCCAACCTACAGTCTATGGTCTAACCTACAGTCTATGGTCCAACCTACAGTCTATGGTCTAACCTACAGTCTATGGTCCAACCTACAGTCTATGGTCTAACCTACAGTCTATGGTCTAACCTACAGTCTATGGTCTAACCTACAGTCTATGGTCTAACCTACAGTCTATGGTCCAACCTACAGTCTATGGTCTAACCTACAGTCTATGGTCTAACCTACAGTCTATGGTCTAACCTACAGTCTATGGTCTAACCTACAGTCTATGGTCCAACCTACAGTCTATGGTCTAACCTAGAGCTCGGACGCAGCCAGTAGCTCACCTTGTTTCCAAGTAGCTCTCCAAATGATTGTGAATGGACAAATATGAGATATTTTGTTCATTTCAAGATGTACTTTCTCCAACTTTTGAAAACACCTGCTTTGATGTGCCCATTCCAATAGATTGTATAATGTGCATATAACTGGAACTGCCTCAAAAGTAAAACAAAATATCAAGTCACTGACGTCAGATATGGTTCACATGTTAGTAGTTTCTACATCTTCAGCATGCGTCTTTAATATCTCAAGTGTCTGTTACACATTGATACAAATCATATAAAAAGCTTTGTCCTCTTGTGTTCAATCTGGAAGAACTAAAATAAAGCGGGTTGCAGGTGCGATCGCTGCTGCTCTGTCTTCATTCCTCGACATAACCTTAAGATTCTTGAGAGTGAACTGGACACACATCTAAGTCATGCCGTAATAAAGCAGCAGCCTGACTCAAAGATGTTGCACCACGACTGTCCTCTGCCACAGACTGTCCACAGACTGTCCTCTGCCACAGACTGTCCTCTGCCACAGACTGTCCTCTGCCACAGACTGTCCTCTGTCCACAGACTGTCCTCTGCCACAGACTGTCCTCTGCCACAGACTGTCCACAGACTGTCCTCTGCCACAGACTGTCCTCTGCCACAGACTGTCCACAGACTGTCCTCTGCCACAGACTGTCCTCTGCCACAGACTGTCCTCTGCCACAGACTGTCCTCTGCCACAGACTGTCCACAGACTGTCCTCTGCCACAGACTGTCCTCTGCCACAGACTGTCCTCTGTCCACAGACTGTCCTCTGCCACAGACTGTCCTCTGCCACAGACTGTCCACAGACTGTCCTCTGCCACAGACTGTCCTCTGTCCACAGACTGTCCTCTGCCACAGACTGTCCTCTGCCACAGACTGTCCACAAGAGTCAGACTGTCCTCTGCCACAGACTGTCCTCTGTCCACAGACTGTCCTCTGCCAGACTGTCCACAGACTGTCCTCTGCCACAGACTGTCCTCTGCCACAGACTGTCCTCTGCCACAGACTGTCCTCTGTCCACAGACTGTCCTCTGCCACAGACTGTCCTCTGCCACAGACTGTCCTCTGTCCACAGACTGTCCTCTGCCACAGACTGTCCTCTGCCACAGACTGTCCTCTGCCACAGACTGTCCTCTGTCCACAGACTGTCCTCTGCCACAGACTGTCCTCTGCCACAGACTGTCCACAGACTGTCCTCTGCCACAGACTGTCCTCTGTCCACAGACTGTCCTCTGCCACAGACTGTCCACAGACTGTCCTCTGCCACAGACTGTCCACAGACTGTCCTCTGCCACAGAGAGTTGATCCGAGACATTTAAGGACCATTATGCATTACGCATCTGTTGTTGGTGAATTGACAACTTTGTAACAAACTCCGAGACGACTACTGTTGAGATTTAGGGCTATGCAAAAATACATAATTGAAATAAAAACTAAATTTCGATAAGAGTTAAATCTGGAGAACTTGGAGGTATGTAGGAGGATTGTCCCACATTTTTGGAAAGAACCGCACTCTCCACTTTTTGACGAGCACGTATCACCAGAATGATTGAGAACTGGGAGGACCAATAGTGTACTGACAAAGTATAAAACTTTTCTGAAATAATGCAATATTGTTCTGAAAAGTTCATTGATCAAGTAATGGACCCAATAATTTCAACATTACTTTCACCGTTCGCAACAATTGTTTTTAAACTTGAAACTGTATTTTATTAGCTTGTTTTTCTCATGGTTTATCGCTGTGTTTTTGTGGTGTAAGAGCCATGTCGTCGCACACAACAGAGGGATTTCTGTGTATTGTTTTGGCTCTGATGCTTTGGCTGGCCACAGAGAATGGCCTTTAACCAGCGGTGGAAATGGCCACGCTGGAGCAGAGTTAATGCGTTACAAATGAGAAAGAGAAACGGCTTCGGTGCCAACAGCCGCGCTCACTGGATTCTGAGCGGGTTTAGTCTGTAGATTGACACAGAGGAGAGCCATTATAAAGAGGTTTGTAGAAGTGCGAGACTCTCCTATAGTTTCTCAGATCAAGACTATGTTCAGAAAGCTCTTATTTTACTCTTAAATGGGTTTTATTATTTTTCTGAACCAACCTCTCATGCTAATCCGTGTGTCCGTTGAGGCCATAGATGCTGCAATACGTCCGTGTGGTCGTAGCATTAAAGCTGGAAGACCTAACTTTGAAATTTACTAAAAACTAACAATGCAATAATAATCCATGCAGTAACTAGTTCCTCGCTCTCAGGCCACCGTCTTCTCTTCCGCCTCCGTCGAGCAAAGACGTGTCTCAGACGCTCCTGCTTCTGACTGCTTGCTATCTCCTGTTTTTGTCTTTTTCATGGAGTTTTGCCACAGACAACTTTTAGCAAGAATGGAAATGGTAAATTGGTCCCTCAACGCAATTGATTCTATCTTTTCAACACGTAAGCGCGGGTCTGGAGAGCCCGTGTGCCCGGACGGGACTTCACCAGCGGGTTATACGCTTGACAGCTGGAACTCGTGGAAACCCCTCTGTCTGTCGACCCTGTCCATTGAAGATTCGGAAGACGTATATATCTTTGGCTTTTTGGTGGTGGGGATCCTCCTGTTTGGGTTTGGAGCTGTTCTCTTCTACCACAAATTCGGAGGCATGGCAGTTCGCAAGATTCACGACCTGCTGGCCGACAAAATTGATGGGATGTACAAGGAGCTTAACCGAGTCGTGGTTGAGAGTGCTGTGGCTGGACAAAGAAGAGTGGTGTTAGTGGAACAGTTGATCAGAGATCTCGCAGCTCGTTCACTTGATGGGCATAAAACTCTGGAATTGAGATTGAATGACATTGTTTGTCACGCTTGAACTCTCTGACCCGGCTTGGATTGGCCCCTGTGTACGGGGTCTGAGGGCGCCGTAATTCGGTTTAATTGGATTTAATAGAATATCTGCCTGTTTTTGACTGCTAAAATGCATACTATATTGTCCCTCGTTACAGGAAGATGTGTTTTCTCCTTGCTGTGTCTCTCCCCACTCTTATCTCACATTCCTCGGGCCAAGGCCATCATAATAAATCTGGACTCTACAACAATTTCTCACTCTTTCAGTCAGTTCCAGCTTGGATCCCGCTCCCCCCGCCTCCCTCTGATCTCTCCCTCCCCTCCACTCCTCACTGTGTTTCCGGCTCACCCCCTCCCTAACCCCGCCCCCCTCTGACAGCCACCGGCTGCAGAAGGCGCTCATCCCGAAAAAAGATCCGTGGTTTATACAAAGCACAATGTTTTCTATCCAACTGTCTGTTGTAACCTGTATGTTATTGCTCTCTGCTGTTTATTCTACTGTTTGTCGCATGGCGCCGGAAAAGATGGCGCCGTGGCAAGAGCTCTGGTGTGTGTCGTCTCCTCTGTCTGGCGCACACCGGGGTAGTCTTGCATAGTTTTTCCAATGTGGTTTTACTGCAAATGGCAAATAAATGAATCTGAATCTGAATCAGCTCTCAGAATGTAAAAGATCAAACTGTTTCTAAGGTGACGTTAGCATGTGGTCTACTTTATTCTCCAAATGTCACTTAAACTAGATTCTTTCTGTTGGAAAAAACTAAATGTATTTATGAAACAAAATAAGTTACGTACTAGAGCTTTAACTCCAGCTTTAACTCCAGATTCAAATATTGAGCAGAAGTTCCCAAAAAACTCCAAAAAGATTCTTGAGTCATTTCCTGGATGAAAGAGGAAGCTGCTGGTTTGTGGCAAAAGACAACCTAAGGACAAATGCAAAACTTGAACAGACTAAAATGTTTGATATGAATTTTGGATAAAAATGTAAGTTAGTAATGTTATTTATATAGCACATGTTACAGCCCAAGGTACAGACCCAAAGCACTTTCCAATGTTCAGAGTCAGATATTGTTCCAATCCTTCCACACACGGTGATGACAGAAGCGAGTCCAGAACACACTGGACCATCAAAGCCTCTGACCCAACACCATCCATTCACTCTCTCATTTACATTCAGACCTATTGTGCATGTTTTTAGTGGTAGGAGAAACCAGAGCACCTGGAGGAAACCTACGCAGACACGGGGAGAACATGCAAACTCCACTCAGAAAGGGCCGGTTCTGACCGGGATGCAAACCCAGGACCTTCTTGCTGAGAAGCGACAGTGCTAACCACTCAGCCACTGTGCCGCCCCGGTGACAAAGTGATCTATGATTGTTGGTGGAGATAAATAATAATACTAGTTTTAGTTTGTTGTGATATTGATCAAAATCGTTCTAAAACTGCCAGACCAAGGTCAAGTTTATTGGTATAGCACATTTAGCGCTTCACACATGAGAATATTTCAAACATCATATCATCAGATTAAAAACATCATAAAAGATGGTCCAATACTTGCTCAAAGTGTCTGTTTTTTTAGTATGAATTATTAAATAATTTGAGACTTTAGTCGACCTTCTGAGATACAACAGGAAGTAAAAGTGCCAGACTTTTTCTTTTCTATTTTTGTAGCAATATTAAAACGTCCACATTAAAGCTCCGTCCGTCACTGTCTTTGAGAAGCAGCAAACTGTGTGTTTTCAAATCAAACTAAAGCCAAAACAATAATTATCCGTCTCTGAGGGAGAGCCGTGGGCAGAGGTCAGAGCGTGAACAGCGGCTCAGATTAAACTGGGTTAAGTTACTCGTGGAGCCGTCGGGGTTGAGCTGCAGAGCCTGTTGCTATGGACGTGTTGCCGGGGGCGACCAGGTGTCTTTGTTCGTCACTGGTTGAAAATATAAAAGCATTAAAGAAAACCTAATGGAAGAAATATAAAGAGTTACTGCGTTTAGCTTTATTGATATCACTGCAAATACAGAAAACATATAATCTAATGTCTGTGCTGCAAAACCTAAACACAAAAGGCTTTTCAGTCCTGGAAACAAGTTCTTACTTAACATTGACTTTGAATTATATTTAAATATAAACAGTGTCGAGCAGGTGAGTAACATACTTTGAGTTACTTTTGGTCCAGAACAATAATTATTACACACTAGTTATGTTTGAATGACATGTTTTAATTTACATACTTTTAGCAGTTTCTTTCTGAACACAGATATATTTTTAATTTTAACTGTAAATAATCATCATATTTATTTCCTCAAAACTCCTCAATGAGTAATATATTAACTTGTTTTAACTAGTTGTTACCATTACTAGTTAACAATTTTCACTTTTGTTATGACTATTGAGTTACTTCAACAAGGATTAGATTACAGAGAGTAATATATTACAGAGAGTAATATATTACAGAGAGTAATAAATTACAGAGAGTAATTTATTACAGAGAGTAATATATTACAGACATGGTTTCTCCTACACTGGTCCCAAAACGACTCCTTTTGTCAAAAGCAGAAAACATATTTTTAACTTTTAAATCAATACTTTATTACTGTCCTTATTTCCCAGGTGTGCTCTGTCTGCATGAGTCTGTCTCAGTCGCTCTGGAGTGTGTGGAGGTGACGTGGACCTGGAGTGTGTGGAGGTGACCTGGACCTGGAGTGTGTGGAGGTGACATGGACCTGGAGTGTGTGGAGGTGACATGGACCTGGAGTGTGTGGAGGTGACATGGACCTGGAGTGTGTGGAGGTGACATGGACCTGGAGTGTGTGGAGGTGACATGGACCTGGAGTGTGTGGAGGTGACATGGACCTGGAGTGTGTGGAGTGTGTGGAGGTGACATGGACCTGGAGTGTGTGGAGGTGACATGGACCTGGAGTGTGTGGAGGTGACATGGACCTGGAGTGTGTGGAGGTGACATGGACCTGGAGTGTGTGGAGTGTGTGGAGGTGACATGGACCTGGAGTGTGTGGAGGTGACGTGGACCTGAAGTGTGTGGAGGTGACATGGACCTGGAGTGTGTGGAGGTGACATGGACCTGGAGTGTGTGGAGGTGACATGGACCTGGAGTGTGTGGAGGTGACCTGGACCTGGAGTGTGTGGAGGTGACCTGGAGTGTGTGGAGGTGACCTGGACCTGGAGTGTGTGGAGGTGACATGGACCTGGAGTGTGTGGAGGTGACATGGACCTGGAGTGTGTGGAGGTGACGTGGACCTGGAGTGTGTGGAGGTGACCTGGAGTGTGTGGAGGTGACATGGACCTGAAGTGTGTGGAGGTGACATGGACCTGGAGTGTGTGGAGGTGACATGGACCTGGAGTGTGTGGAGGTGACATGGACCTGGAGTGTGTGGAGTGTGTGGAGGTGACATGGACCTGGAGTGTGTGGAGGTGACATGGACCTGGAGTGTGTGGAGTGTGTGGAGGTGACATGGACCTGGAGTGTGTGGAGGTGACATGGACCTGGAGTGTGTGGAGGTGACATGGACCTGGAGTGTGTGGAGTGTGTGGAGGTGACCTGGAGTGTGTGGAGGTGACATGGACCTGGAGTGTGTGGAGTGTGTGGAGTGTGTGGAGGTGACCTGGAGTGTGTGGAGGTGACATGGACCTGGAGTGTGTGGAGGTGACATGGACCTGGAGTGTGTGGAGGTGACCTGGACCTGGAGTGTGTGGAGGTGACGTGGACCTGGAGTGTGTGGAGGTGACTGGACCTGGAGTGTGTGGAGGTGACCTGGACCTGGAGTGTGTGGAGGTGACGTGGACCTGGAGTGTGTGGAGGTGACCTGGAGTGTGTGGAGGTGACATGGACCTGGAGTGTGTGGAGGTGACCTGGAGGAGTGTGTGAGGTGACATGGACTGGAGTGTGTGGAGGCTGACTGGATGGAGTGTGTGGAGGTGACATGGACCTGGAGTGTGTGGAGGTGACCTGGACCTGGAGTGTGTGGAGGTGACGTGGACCTGGAGTGTGTGGATGGGGTGACATGGACCTGGAGTGTGTGGAGGATGGACTGGAGTGTGTGAGTGGACTGGTGTGACATGGACTGGAGTGTGTGGAGGTGACATGGACCTGGAGTGTGTGGAGGTGACATGGACCTGGAGTGTGTGGAGGTGACATGGACCTGGAGTGTGTGGAGGTGACGGAGGACATGGACCTGGAGTGTGTGGAGGTGACGTGGACCTGGAGTGTGTGGAGGTGACATGGACCTGGAGTGTGTGGAGGGTGGACTGGACTGGAGTGTGACCGGAGTGTGGTGACATGGACCTGGAGTGTGTGTGAGGTGACATGGACCTGGAGTGTGTGGAGGTGACATGGACCTGGAGTGTGTGGAGGTGACGTGGACCTGGAGTGTGTGGAGGTGACCTGGAGTGTGTGGAGGTGACATGGACCTGAAGTGTGTGGAGGTGACATGGACCTGGAGTGTGTGGAGGTGACATGGACCTGGAGTGTGTGGAGGTGACATGGACCTGGAGTGTGTGGAGTGTGTGGAGGTGACATGGACCTGTGGAGTGTGGATGGAGGTGAATGGACCTGGAGTGTGTGGAGTGTGTGTGGAGGTGACATGGACCTGGAGTGTGTGGAGGTGACATGGACCTGGATGTGTGGAGGATGTGGGAGGTGACATGGACCTGGAGTGTGTGGAGGTGACATGGACCTGGAGTGTGTGGAGTGTGTGGAGGTGACCTGGAGTGTGTGGAGGTGACATGGACCTGGAGTGTGTGGAGTGTGTGGAGTGTGTGGAGGTGACCTGGAGTGTGTGGAGGTGGACATGGACCTGGAGTGTGTGGAGGTGACATGGACCTGGAGTGTGTGGAGGTGACCTGGACCTGGAGTGTGTGGAGGTGACGTGGACCTGGAGTGTGTGGAGGTGACCTGGACCTGGAGTGTGTGGAGGTGACGTGGACCTGGAGTGTGTGGAGGTGGACCTGGAGTGTGTGGAGGTGACATGGACCTGGAGTGTGTGGAGGTGACCTGGAGTGTGTGGAGGTGACATGGACCTGGAGTGTGTGGAGGTGACCTGGACCTGGAGTGTGTGGAGGTGACGTGGACCTGGAGTGTGTGGAGGTGACATGGACCTGGAGTGTGTGGAGGTGACCTGGAGTGTGTGGAGGTGACATGGACCTGGAGTGTGTGGAGGTGACCTGGACCTGGAGTGTGTGGAGGTGACGTGGACCTGGAGTGTGTGGAGGTGACCTGGACCTGGAGTGTGTGGAGGTGACATGGACCTGGAGTGTGTGGAGTGTGTGGAGGTGACATGGACCTGGAGTGTGTGGAGGTGACATGGACCTGGACCTGGAGTGTGGAGGTGACTGGACCTGGAGTGTGTGGAGGTGACATGGACCTGGAGTGTGTGGAGGTGACATGGACCTGGAGTGTGTGGAGGTGACCTGGACCTGGAGTGTGTGGAGGTGACATGGACCTGGAGTGTGTGGAGGTGACGTGGACCTGGAGTGTGTGGAGGTGACCTGGACCTGGAGTGTGTGGAGGTGACATGGACCTGGAGTGTGTGGAGTGTGTGGAGGTGACATGGACCTGGAGTGTGTGGAGGTGACCTGGAGTGTGTGGAGGTGACGTGGACCTGGAGTGTGTGGAGGTGACCTGGAGTGTGTGGAGGTGACCTGGACCTGGAGTGTGTGGAGGTGACATGGACCTGGAGTGTGTGGAGGTGACCTGGACCTGGAGTGTGTGGGAGTGTGTGGAGGTGACGTGAACCTGGAGTGTGTGGAGGTGACCTGGACCTGGAGTGTGTGGAGGTGACGTGGACCTGGAGTGTGTGGAGGTGACATGGACCTGGAGTGTGTGGAGGTGACCTGGAGTGTGTGGGAGGTGACATGGACCTGGAGTGTGTGGAGGTGACCTGGAGTGTGTGGAGGTGACATGGACCTGGAGTGTGTGGAGGTGACATGGACCTGGAGTGTGTGGAGGTGACCTGGAGTGTGTGGAGGTGACATGGACCTGGAGTGTGTGGAGGTGACATGAACCTGGAGTGTGTGGAGGTGACCTGGAGTGTGTGGAGGTGACATGGACCTGGAGTGTGTGGAGGTGACCTGGAGTGTGTGGAGGTGACATGGACCTGGAGTGTGTGGAGGTGACCTGGACCTGGAGTGTGTGGAGGTGACATGGACCTGGAGTGTGTGGAGGTGACCTGGACCTGGAGTGTGTGGAGGTGACGTGGACCTGGAGTGTGTGGAGGTGACCTGGACCTGGAGTGTGTGGAGGTGACATGGACCTGGAGTGTGTGGAGTGTGTGGAGGTGACGTGGACCTGGAGTGTGTGGAGTGTGTGGAGGTGACATGGACCTGGAGTGTGTGGAGGTGACCTGGAGTGTGTGGAGGTGACGTGGACCTGGAGTGTGTGGAGGTGACCTGGAGTGTGTGGAGGTGACGTGGACCTGGAGTGTGTGGAGGTGACGTGAACCTGGAGTGTGTGGAGGTGACATGGACCTGGAGTGGAGGTGACCTGGACCTGGAGTGTGTGGAGGTGACGTGGACCTGGAGTGTGTGGAGGTGACATGGACCTGGAGTGTGTGGAGGTGACCTGGACCTGGAGTGTGTGGAGGTGACATGGACCTGGAGTGTGTGGAGGTGACCTGGACCTGGAGTGTGTGGAGGTGACATGGACCTGGAGTGTGTGGAGGTGACATGGACCTGGAGTGTGTGGAGGTGACATGGACCTGGAGTGTGGAGGTGACATGGACTGGGTGTGGAGGTGACATGGACCTGGAGTGTGTGGAGGTGACCTGGAGTGTGTGGAGGTGACATGGACCTGGAGTGGTGTGTGGAGGTGACATGGACCTGGAGTGTGTGGAGGTGACCTGGAGTGTGTGGAGGTGACATGGACCTGGAGTGTGTGGAGGTGACCTGGAGTGTGTGGAGGTGACATGGACCTGGAGTGTGTGGAGGTGACCTGGAGTGTGTGGAGGTGACCTGGAGTGTGTGGAGGTGACCTGGAGTGTGTGGAGGTGACCTGGAGTGTGTGGAGGTGACATGGACCTGGAGTGTGTGGAGGTGACATGGACCTGGAGTGTGTGGAGGTGACATGGACCTGGAGTGTGTGGAGGTGACATGGACCTGGAGTGTGTGGAGGTGACATGGACCTGGAGTGTGTGGAGGTGACCTGGAGTGTGTGGAGGTGACATGGACCTGGAGTGTGTGGAGGTGACATGGACCTGGAGTGTGTGGAGGTGACCTGGAGTGTGTGGAGGTGACATGGACCTGGAGTGTGTGGAGGTGACATGGACCTGGAGTGTGTGGAGGTGACCTGGAGTGTGTGGAGGTGACAT